AACCTTCAGCAGATCGTCAGTCCACCTAGTGGGGGGCCTGCCCACACCACGTCTTCCGGCTCGGTCGTTATGGAAATCCTTGGGGGAGTGCTTTGTCCAGCAGTGGACGTCATTTGTCTGAAACGAACGAACGAAAGAAATTATAATCTTCGGGTTTAGTTTCCATAGTAGGAGCCAGAGAGGATGACGAGGGTCGTGCTCTCTGAGGGTAGACCTCTTCTAAAAATGTTCATACCATTGTACCTATGAGTAAAAATGATTCGTTCGTTCGTTCGTTTCAGTCAAATGACGTGACGTCCACTGCTGGACAAAGGCCTCTCCCAAGGATTTCCATAACGACCAGGCCTACGCTGTCCGCATCCAGGCTCTTCCCGCGACCTTCACCAGATCGTCGGTCCACCTAGTGGGAGGCCTGCCCACGCTACGTCTGTGATCCGTACGTGTATAAATAAGTAGGTAAGAGAGATTTGTAGGATTTTTAATTTTTTATGGGATGCATCTCAGACTAATATTAGTAAAACTTGAATAACTCGATTACCCTAGGTAGGAATTGAATCCCCGAGTTTACTCAATGGCTCCATAGCTCAGTGGTCGCAGTCGGCAAACGAATGAGCGTGGGTTCAATGCCTAACTTAGGCAACCGATTTTTTAGTTTTACAAAATCTATTTTAGTTTTGTTGCTGCTTATAATGTTAATTGCTGCAAGATTAATATAATAATGTATTATTTAAGCATTGCTGTGAAATTTTGATTTCAATGAGTTAATGTTTTAGTTTTAACCATAGGAAAGGAGATCCTGAAATATTTCAGATAAGAAAAACATAGAAAGGATAGGTAATTTTTTTTAGAAAATTTCACCAAGTAATTAATTTTGAATTAACAATCCAATCGTGTTTCGATTTGAAAATTCTTTATTAGATGTTTATGGTCATTGATTAAAAGTTAGTGATTTGAAAAGAGACATTATTGTATTTAAATACAACCAAAGCCATAGCCAGAAACTCGTTTTTATTAAAATATTTGTAAGGTGTAAAGTACCATCATGTATTTGGTCCCCACGGGTAGATTTTGATTTTAAAGTTACAATTTTGATACAAAATATTAACTTGGTTCTTAGTAACAAAAATATTGTTGTAAGTTTCGTAATTAATTTCATTTATCCATGCAGTTACAAAGTTCAATTAATAACTTTGCTAGCATTTCTGAGTCCTACTTTCGGCGAAAATTATATTTTGTGTAAAGATAGTTATTATAAAGTCAGCTATTCAGAAAATTCAAAGGTAAGGTTTATAAGGTAAAGTTAGGTGGCAGGGCTTTGTGGGAATTCGGGCAATTTTATAAAAGTCTGGGTGTGCCTATCTGTTATTGGTCGTGGCGCAGTTGGTGAGGTGGATCTGTGAGGTCCGGGTTCGATTTCTTGATGGGACAACCCACCACCACCCATGGCCATACCAACCTTGCGTTTATACTGGCCGAATCGCGGGAGGTGTGCGCGGAATTGCGGCTGCCTAGGGCAGATTGCACTCCACCGCGCCACACTTCTTGACTCCCTACAAGTTATTTTTCTTCGTCCTTGTCACTATGTTGCAGTTCTCCCCCTTCTGGGGCCTGACGATCACTCCACGGATGACACCATCTGGTGCCGTGCAGCGCTAGCGGTCCTCCTCCTATGGGACAATTAAAAGCGGTTACTTGACGTCAGGGTCATGGCTATCTAGAAAATAATGAAGTGTGTTTCTTGGTAAATGTCATGTCCAGTTATGGGCCAGCATTTAATTACAAGATTATCGCCCCTATTCATAAACATTACTATGTGGCCTCACAGCGCGCGTGGACGTACAGGATGACACATGAACCAATCACAGAGCTCTATTCGACGCTGTACGTTCGATTTGCTGCTTCACTTCAGTCAGCATCGTTTGTGAATACGGGCATAGGTCTCTATGATTATTTATTTATAATTTGATTAATTTATTGAATAGGTATGGTTTTCATTTTTTTTTCTTCTTTTTGTTGTTGAACCCTGCATAAAAGGCACCCACTGAAAATCGGGATAGTCCCATCCCAACCACCCCGGTGGATCCATCCCGTCAACGGGGCAGTGTTTAGGCAGTTATCTGGGATGTTTTATGTTATTTTAATAGATGTTAACCTACTATCCTACTAATTATTATAAATGTGAAAGTTTGTATGGATGTCTGGATGTTTGTTACTCTTTCACGCAAAAAATACTGAACGGATTTTGGTGAAACTTTACAGTAATATAGACTATAATTTATGACGATCTGTGACAAACTAAAATTAACGCGGACAAAAGCTAGTTTTGCTATAAACGTGATGTCGATTGCAGTTACAATTAGCAAACACGTAATTTTGTGTATATGGACTCAGACACATGAGTTTCTCACAAGTAGTGTGGGATTTTTAGCCAATATGAAAATTGACCAAATTTCCAGTTTTGCTGCTACATGGTTGTTGCATATAAAAACGCACCATTACATTAAAGATCATTCGTTAATCGATATACCTGCAGAGTACTCGATTCGGATCTAAGATTAGGTAAGTGTCACTTTTAAAACTACTTTTTGCCCCCACTTTGCCCATTTTTAAAAAATATTAGTAACTATAACATAGTTTCGCGGTTTTGTCTATTTAATTATTAGATCAATTGTTAACTGGAAGATATTTCATTGTTGCGCTAAGTCCATTATTTTTATAGCAATACGTAGTTTTAAAGTACGCTAAAATATTAGTAACTAGCTTTCGACCCCGACTCTACTCAAGTAATCAATTTGTCAAATTAAAAACTTATGCCTTATGTATTTTCATCCTAATCCATCCAGCATCATCGCCCACTGATCATAATCATGATTCTAATAAATTCCTTTGTTTCCAGAAACATGGCGTTCCTGTTCATCCTCCTCGCGCTGCCAGCGCTGGCTTTGGCCAGAATCGACATCGAGGTCGCCGGCAAGTTCGACCCTAACAACCAGAATATGCAGGTCTACTACTCCGGCAATGAAGTCGCCATCATCAGCGACGAAGAACGCAACACTTTCAAGATCGGCGACTCCGCCCTGAAAGACGCCGTCCGATCCTACTTCGGGCAGCGCCCAGACGACGCCTACCTCCGCTCCCCCACCCCCTGGGGAGATCTCTACCAGACCTACGGCTGGTCCCAAGTCACCAGGACCCTGGTCCCCCGCAGCGCTAAGGTCCTGACCATCTCCTCCCAACCCCAGATCGTCATGAGGCAGCTCTTCGAAAACAACAGCACCAAACCTGCCACCTTCAACGTAGGCATCTCCCAGACCGTTCAGAACACTGTCTCGTCATCCTGGAGCACTGGTGGCCAGCTGACTATTGGTCAAGAGATCAGCTACGGCATCAACATCGAGGGCATCGTCGGAGGAGGCGCCGTATCCTACTCATACACCAACTCATGGGGCAGGAACACCGAGAAATCCCAGAGCGTGACCATCGGGGCATCATCAGGCATGGAAGTCCTTCTCCAGCCAGGCCAAGGCGTCGTCGCTGAGCTCGAAGCCACCAGAGGCTCCATGAAGGTCGAGGTTGAATACTTGGCCAGTTTGGATGGAGCTAACGCCGTGAACTACGCCAAGACCTACAAAGGTCACCACTTCTGGGCGCTGGATGTTCGTGGAGTGATGTCCAGCGGCGGAATCAGCAACGCCGTGGTCTCCCGCGAGGTCCTGGAGATCGGATTCTACTCCAACTCCAAGGTCGTGGTCCACGACAGAGCTCTCGGCACCAAGTTCTTGGAAATGTCTTTCTGAATAGATTAATAGCTAGATTTGTAAATAATAAACGTTTTTATACATTTTCTTATGTCTGAGTTTTGATTCCCGTTCCTAGTCCTTTCCTGATCTCACTATTCCATTAAGTGGAAAGTGGGAGTAGTAGGGAGAGTCTGATACATTCTGGGTTCGACTCCCAGAAAGTGTATTCTTTCCTGATTTCACTACTTTTGTCTCACTTATTACAGTAAGTGAAAAGTGGGAGTATTAGGTAGGGTCTGATACATTCTGGGTTCGATTCCCATAAAGTGCACTCTTTCCTGATTTCACTCCTTTTTTCCTCACTTATTCCAGTAAGTGAAAAGTGGGAGTAGTACGTAGGGTCTGATACATTCTGGGTTCGATTCCCATAAAGTGCATTCTTTCCTGATTTCACTAATTTTGTCTCACTTATTCCAGTAAGTGGAAAGTGGGAGTAGTAGGTAGGTCTCATACACTCTGGGTTCGATTCCCAGAAAGTGCACTCTTTCCTGATTTCACTACTTTTGTCTCACTTATTCTAGTAAGTGGAAAGTGGGAGTAGTAGGTAGGGTGTCATGCATTCTGGGTTCGACTCTTATAAAGTGCATTCTTTACTAAATTTACTCATTTTTGCCTCATTTGTAAGTGGAAAGTGGGAGTAGTAGCTAGAGTCTCAAACATTCTGGGTTCGATTACCAGAAAGTGCATATGTGGTAGAGATATAGTTGTGCCTCCCGTATCAGAGCACAAACATTACTATGAGGTCTCACAGTGCGTGTGGACGCACAGGGTGACACACGAACCAATCACAGAGATCTATTCAACGCTGTGCGTTCGATTTATGTTATTATTTATTTTATTTATTTATATTAGGAAGACCAGGGTTTACATAATTATTTTACAAAATTTATGATAACCACTTATAGGTCCCCACAGATAGCATTTGCTGCTTCACTTAAGCAAGCATCGTTTGTGAATACGGCCGTAAGAATAGAACCCAAGACCTTCAAGTCTTTAATTTAGTTCTGTAACTAGCGCCTCTACGCGCTAGCTGCATAGGCACCAAAGGCTTCAATATCACCACATCATCTGAATGTTTAGGCATAGTGTAGCTCAATTAAAAATAAAACACTACTCAACTTCCATCTACTAAGGCTGGGTTGCACCATCTTACTTTAACTTTGACAAACGTCAAACTCCATACAAACTACACACACCGGTTATCGTTATAGCTACGTTCAAAGTTAGGTGGTGCAACTCAGCCAAGCTATTTATTTTTATGTTCTGAACACTCCTGGGCCTTCATACAACGTCTTATTAGACGTTCTGTCAGTCAGCGTGACTTTAGCTTCAGAATAGTACCCGATCTTCAAAGTCTGCCTCGACAATATGTGGATTGGCATATCAATAGCAGAGAGCACCGTATTTATATCCTGCCTCCAATAATACCTGCCGCGGTATGTCTTCGAAAACTCACAGGCCACATTTCCCTGTAAGCTGGTCAAATAATCGATCTGTACTTCAATAGATCCTTTAGTAGCTGATAAGACAGCTACAGCTTCTTGTCCTGGTTCAAGATCTACCAAAACTTCTGACGAAGACCCGACTGCAATAGAAGTCTCTTTATAAGACCTTACCCCCCAGTTGCTTGTGAAAGAAATGCTGTTAGTACTCGATATCCCACCTGACAATTCACTGCCATTCGCTCCAGGCACTTTGAAATTTATTCCGAAACTAATTTGGTCTCCAACAGTCTTACTTAGACTTTGAAACCAGGAACTGGTGATGGAGTTTCTGACCTCCGTTGATATTCCTGCCTTGAACGTAGCTTTGTTTGAAAAAAGGTTGTTTAATGTGTGTGTTGAAACGATCACAGGCTCGCTGGATATTCTTATTACTTTTCCTTTGATAGGTTTAAGGGTTATTTTAACAGGCGTCCACTTTCGTTGCTTATAAATATCTTGCCAGTGTCCTAAAGAAACGTAGTTAGGCCAGGCTCCCATTAAAGCTTCGACTCCTCGTTTGAGGTTGTCGTCAGTTATATCAAAAGCATCCTTGTCTTCATTCGAGATGTCATTTTCGATTTTGCCATGGAATTCGAAAGTTGCGTTCGCTGCGCCTGCATTTATTACAATGCTGATGGGTTCTGAAAGTGAAATTGCTGTTGTAATCTCACAGGCGCTTTGTTCATGTATAAAAGAAAGAATCAAGTTGTCCCACACTAAAACTATAAAACTATACCTAAACTATTTATGACTGTTAAAGTCGATGTTTTACTGACTTCTCAATACTCAGGATTTTTGAAATAATATTAGAGGATTACCTACTTTTTAATTTGCAGTAATAAATTACATACCATCACATCTGACAACTGGTGTTAACATTAAAATACACAAAAATATCTTGAATATTTTCATTTTAAGCGCTACCACCACTATATTTTTACTTATCAAAAGCCAAAACTAAATCACAATAAATAATTCTAACCACGCCACACGGAGATGCGAATCTTGTGAATGAAATAAGATCATAGTAATAATTCTTACTATTTGATATAATTATTGCTATTAATGAAGACTGTATCAAAACAAATAATGATAACGAAGTTGCTTGACTTATTTCTCAAGTTAACGAATATTACAATTCAAGTGTGACTTTCTGCCATTCCTATTGGCTAAAATTGGATATCGTCGACTGTCATTGGTTCTTTATGCATCAACTAAGGAACAAAAACTTAATTGTATAACTGGGACTTGTGTTTGAAGAATGGTGATGAACTGTCAGCAGTTCCAGTATCTCAGAATACTTGGGTTTTCCCGGTGTCATTAGTTCAGAATATGACAAACAAGTTAATAGCAAGCCAGATAATTTAACTGCGTTTTAAATTAAATCGATTCACAATTCTTATCAAATACTTAACATATTATTTTATAATTCTCAACAGATGAGCGAACTTAAATCGGGTCTTGAACGGATATGGTAGGAAATGCTTGTTTATTTATTGTATGTATCATCCAGTTGGTTAATAAATTAAGTATAGGTGTATTTCAATATTGATTATCACAAAATATTTATTCCAAAACGAATCTGCACTTTACTAATCCTGTAGGCCTAGGATGCATGCCACGATAAGCGGTTATCGCGCCAATTTACTGATTTTGCCCATACATACGCGCATCCAAGTTCGGCTGGGCAGCTGTGTAAGCCTCTTATTCTTTCTTAATAGCAGCTGAGTAGACATTCAGGGTGTTCGCAGTCACTTTGTCAGACACCACCACCCGAGCATTGGAGTAGAACCCGACTTTAATGATCTCCGTGGAATCCACCGTCGTCTTCATACCACTAGCCTTCTGGACCGCGTTTAAGTCATATCTCCAGAAGTAGTGACCCTTGAATTTGCCGGGGTAGTTGCAAGCTATGTCTCCATCTAAACTGGCCGAGTAATCCACCTGGATCTCCATCGATCCCCTAGTCGCTTGCAGCGAAGCTACTACAGCTTGGCCAGGCGCCAGCTGCACTTGAACACCTTGACTGGATCCCACAGTCACACTCTTGGATTTGGTAGTGTCTTTACCAAATGACGCAGAAAAAGAAAAGCGTGTTGCACCACCGATTTCTCCAACACCTACATCAACTTTGTAGTTAATTTCCTGCTCGACTTTCATCTCCCCTCCAACAGACCATGTGGTAGAGACGGTTTCTTCAACTTGCTGAGTCACGCCCGCGTTGTATGTGGATGTCACAGAGCTGTTATTGATGAACTCACTGGTTACAAGGAGAACAGGTTCGCTCCGAATGCCGAGGATCCTTGCGCTTTTGGGGTGAAGAGTTCTCTGGACTTGGGACCAGCCAAATGACTTGTACAAGTCGTTCCAAGGAGTGGGGCTTTTTAGGTAGACATCGCCGGGTCTTCCGCCTGAAAACATTTGGGCTGCGTCTTTGAGTTTGGAGTCGGAGAGGCCGAAGGTTCGGATGTCTTCGTCGGTGATGAGCTCGACGCTAGATCCAAAGTACTCTACCTTGGATGTGGCGGAGTCGCTTGTAGCGACGACGTCGACATTGATTTTGGCGGACGCTAAAGCTGGCACCAGGAGTAAGAGTTTGAACCACATCTTTGGAATCTTAATAGAATAGAGGATTATCATTCAATTGTTCAAATTTTTGTATCAGGATGACAGTGTAATAAAATTATTAACTTTGTATTCAAATTTTTTATAGTGGCTGTCATTGATTTACAAGATTTAAGATTCTAAATTGAATAGAATATAATAGAATACCTTTATTCAGCATTAACATTTATGTGCATACATGTACAGAGGTTAAATATTACTGAGCCATGCTGAAAAGGCGCCCGCTCAGCGAAAATCGTGACATGACACAAGTCGTCAAGACACGAAGCTGGTTTTCAGCGGGTACCAACATGGGGGTTATTACGCCAATTAAAAGCGCCCTTTTGACAGTGACGGTTTATATAAAATATTATAAAATTCGTGTCGATTTGCGAATTGCTTACCTTTCTGTTAAGTCGTTCATAATGATCTTGAACAAATCTATATCCTTACTTTATATGATAAACATAATTCGATATGTCATTACAGTTTGAATTAAAACCATATTTTGTTAAACCACAATAACAATTTCCGTCGCTTAATTTGCTATTTCTATTAAAGTATTGGCGTTATCTTTATAGCTTCTTTATTGGATGAGTCTAATCTTAATATGGGAGCTACACCTCTATTGTAAATAAATCCAAATAATAAGCAATTTGAACTTTGAAGAGCATTCGAATTTGAATATGTAGTTACCATTCGTAAGCCAAAGATTACATAGACGAAGCGCAATAGCAAAATTGAGGAAAAATCGGAGACGACGGAATTTTAGAAGAATATTGATTTACACTCGTATTCGTAAGCAGCAAATCGAACGCACAGCGTTGAATAACGCTCTGTGATTGGTTCGTGTGTGAACCTGTGCTTCCACGCGCACTGTGAGTTCTCATAGTAATAAATAGCTTTAAAATCTTAACAAAATCGAGTCACATAAGACCTAAAAACACAAAAACAGTTAAACTGCTTAATTGGATTGTCCATTAATTCTCAATTATACGCCTATATCTTCGGATTCTATAAAAATGATATGTAGACGACAGTTATCCTTTAGACCGACTGGGGTTTAATCAGGTAAGTGATTTATCTTTAAAACAAAAATATAGCAAGTGCTGTTATGAATGAGGACAGCCTAATGCCATCATAGACGATATCCTTTATGTTATAGAAGCATAAAATATTGAGTTCTTGTTGTATTGTATTTCATATTTTTGTTTTCCTGAGTAATACTATGCAGACATTGAATTTGATGTGGTAACACATAATCGGGTTTTTTTTACCAAACTTGCTTACTTAACCTCTTTGAGTGATACATTTCCCATTATTATGCAAAATAAACCTTTATTTAACTGTAAGGCTTCAATTATCTTCGCACGTGCGTTACGCTGACGTTGTTTTTTGTGTATTTAGAAGGTGCTGTCTTTGTTACATGTTATTTTTCATTCGCGACTTAGGCTGGCTCATCTTCACATGCCTTCCTTTCCGAACTGAAATCATCTGTTTGTTTTGTAAAGCAATTAACTTTAACTTAAGTTTTAATTTACTTCTCAGGATGGAAAAACTAATTCTTTTGCTGCTGCCAGTCTTGGTATCTTGTAGCATTACAGTCAACATCATCGCTTCCAACTCCGATGCCACTTCGAGGGTCAACTACATAGGGACCGACTCAAACATCATCAGCGCCAAAGAACGCGTCACATTCGGAGTTACCGACGAAAACTTGAAGACAGCAGCTGAAAAATACTCTGGTGGTAGACCAAAGGACGTATTCCTTCATAGCCCTACCCCATGGAATGATTTGTACCAGACGTACGGCTGGAGGCAAGTCAGAAGAATATTAAGGCCAATCAGACACAAAATTCTTAGCGTGGACAGCGAAGACAGCGTCATGAGTGTAAAGGAAATGCACAATAATAGTACCGCGACAGTTTCGTTCAACACTGGCATGCAGCAGGATGTGGAAAATATCGTATCTAACACGTGGAGCAAAGAAGGAGCGCTGACGATCGAAGAACCCATTCATTACGATATCAATTTCATTTCTGGCAGTGTTACTGGACCGGACTTCAAATTCTCGTCTAAATGGGCCAACGATGCGATGGAAGTAAAGAAAATAACCATAGGTTCAGATTCGGATACAACAGTACCTGTAGAACCAGGACAATCGATTAAAGCGTCATTGCAGGCCACAAAAGTGACGATGATTGCCGAAATAGATTATTCTGCGAATTTGAACGGTCACGTTGCTTGTAACTACCCTAAGAAATTCAACGGCCATCACTTTTGGAGGTATGACGTGACAGCGTTGCAAGAAGCGAGCCAATTAAGAAAGACGGTTATGTCATCTGAAGTGATTAAAATTAGGTATTATAGCAACCCAAAACTGGTGATAACGAATAAAGACACAAACGAGGAAATTTCATCACACCCTGGATTTTTACGGGATACCAATATTACAGAGAAAGTGCATGCCTAAGTGATAGAAGACTTACGCCCGTATTCACAAACATTACTATGAGGTCTCACAGTGCGGGTGGACGCAAAAGGTGACACACGAACCAATCACAGAGCTCTATTCAACGCTGTGCGTTCGATTTGCTGCTTCACTTAAGCAAGCATCGTTTGTGAATACGGGTGTTAGGGACTTGAGATACGGGGTGCATTATAAAACCTTGCGGTACTCCTTGGCTGATTTTATTCTTGAAAGTTTGTAAAAATTTGATTAAATATTAGTTATTTAAATAAAAATATTTGTTTTCTTTCTGATTATCCATTATTAGTTTTGGTGTTTTTTTTGTACCTTCTAGAGACTATTTTTTAGTTTATGGAAAGCTTTGGAGAAATTTCTATTAATTTTTTAGACGTAATTATTTCAGTAAATTCAAAAGGGTAAATAAAACGATTAATATTGCTTAACAATCGTTTATTTAAGCAATTCCGAGCGAATAAACAGCGAAACCACTCCTCGCTACAAGGAAATATAAGAATTTTGAATTTTTTAATGTAATACCGGAATGAGCTGTAGTTTTTGATACAGATTTTTACCAACCATTTGCATTCCAAGCTCGCAATAACGCTGTGATTGCTCCGACTTTTGACGTGAATAATCAAATAACATTTTTTTTAAAATGGCAGTCTGTATGTGATATCAATTGTATGTATATTTTTTTACTATTTCTTTGTAAAAATATTTCTAAATCTACATGGCATTAATTTAATATTGCTTTTAAGTTTTTTTTACGAATCACTAATTGTATGTTCTTTCTGGCAACGCTATCCGTTAATAGATAGATGTAAAGCTTAAAATCTATTTTATAAATTAGTTTAAAGATTAACTAGAAGTTAATTTGCTAAGTTTCAAAAACAGAAATAAAAAGCATCATTAACATTTTCATAATTAAATATTATATTACATAAGTACTTAAAACTGTCAATAATAATGAATACCCAGGTTTTTACAACTATTTGTCAAACAATTAAATATTTTGTATGAAGGTTTTCATACCGAGGGAGGATACACATTTAATTTTGTGTACGTTTACTCAACTTACAATAACTTATTGCTATTTAAAAGCTAGGCATCGATTCTTTTGGAGTATTGGTGACTGGTGACAGTTCTTATCACCAATTTACCAAATAAAAAAGAGTCCATTCTATGAAAATATTTTTCAATGAATAAATCTTCAAGTGAAATAGTTAAATGATATTACAAAATAAAAAAAATTATTAAAGTTGAATAATATTTTCATAGAAAGGGCTCCTTAAACTAGTATCTACTGACATTTTTTTAATAATTTTGTTGTTTTCAAAAAAATACAAAATTAAATAAAATAATTGAAAACTTTTCTCGAACATATTTTTTTTTTCGTTTATTATTTTTACGTAATACAATTCAAAAATTAAATTATTTCTAGGAACTTAGAGTATTCTAATACAATGTAATTTTTACAATTTTATTAATATTGAACGTTATGTAAAGGCGGGTTTAACTTGTGTGGGTCCGTCAAAATTTTTTGATCCTATTTCATTTTTTGCCTTTTGTTACTCAAATAGGACTACCATCACTCACATTTTTTTTAAATAGGTTTTATTTGTATTATTATATAACAACATGTTTTTGAATTGAAGAGATTTTAATTATTTTGTTTCAAACTTTAAGGATCTTTAACATCAGTGTTATGGTCACAAAGAATAATAAAAAATAGATTATTTAAAAGTAAAAAAATAACATTATTTTTTGTTCAGAAAACATTAAAAATAAACACAAAGAAAAAGCTAAATAATTAAACAGAAGAATTATTTTACATCAGGTAATGATTTGTTGGTCTTCGATCATTAATAATGTTTTGTTTTGTCACATATTTTGTCTACAGTTATTTTTAAATACAAAATAAGGCGATAATTTTCCCGCAAAACTTCGATAAATGTTTTTTGTATTCGATATAGTATTACAAATATCGAAATTATGTTAGCTCGTTAACCTTGCATAGCTATTGATTCATAAATCGGGAAATACTTCTATATTTGCTGCAAATACAGTGTTGTAAAACTGGTTTTGCTGATTTTGCCATATTTTTCGTAAAGAAAATTAAGTCAACAGTTAAAATATTATAATCAAACTTCATTCACTATCAGAGTCACCAACACTCATCATTTATAGCCTTTACTAGCGAGTTCAAAGCTTAATGCATACTACGAACAACGATTATGACATATTCTATACATCTATCTCACTCATACCAGCGTTCAAGCATGAGAAAGGGATATAACGATATTTAAGTATCACTACCTCATGACAACAAAATGGTGACATAGGAATATCTGTTCTGTGTGTTTTTGTTAAAATTCAACTTTGTTTAAACTCATGTAACACTTCGTTGTTGATATTGAGTTGTGGTAATAATATAATCTAACGTTACATAGGTGGCAATTGAAAATACATAATATTCACAGGTTATCGCTTCATTTTAAAGGGCTACACGTATTCACGTTGAACACGAGCTAGTACAGACAATACATCATACTATAGGTTTTTGTTGCAGAATTGCTTGTAGGTATTTAGTTAGACGTATGGGACTGGTATGACATTTAATCTTAAACCATTTTGGTATCAAAGTTCTTGCGGTACTTTGGGGTTACTATATTCACAAACAACACTTAGCTAAATAATAGTCAATTGCACTACTTTAAATATGTATATTAATATTAATCCTACTATAAATATATTATCAACTATGAGTACATGCATACAATATTGGCATTTCCGAACGAATCATGAAGGCACTAAGTTTGTAAATGGTTACAACATTTATAAATATGTATTGTGTATAAATATGTATGTATGTAGTGTTGTTTGTGATTACAGTTTCCTCTTTTAATTTTTGATATTATGAACATTTTTTTGTATATTTTCGCTTTAGTATTCTTGAGACTTGTGATTTGATCATAACTATGCAGTGTTGATCATAAAAATTGATTAATTTTTCTTTCAGTCTAAATTTAATAAATTCAAATTAACAATAATATTGTTATTTCTTCTGAAACGGCTATATGCTGACTTTATAAATATTGCTTTATTGTAAAAATGAAACAATATTATCACAGCAAGCTAAATTTCATGAACATGCCTGAATTTCACGTATTAGCAAAAATACAGTCCGTTAATAAAATGAAATTTTGACGATAGTGATTTTGTAATTTTTTCTAGTTGCAATAACAAGTGAAATAGAACAAATAACAGCTTTAAAATATAGTATAATGACCCTAATGACCGTACGAGATATTAAATTACTAATATACTATAGTTATCACTATGTTTGCGGGACCTAATATTATTTAAATAATAGCTTAATATGAATAAGCTGACACGATATCGAACGAAACACTTCGTCTTGAAGAAGTGTGCAGTAAGTACCTATAATGAAGTGACAAATTCCCTCAATTTTAAACCTTATGCTGAAGGTATAAAACTCCAGATCTATTGAGGAAATTCGTCAATTTGTTGACGATGACCGAACTTAGTCATCCTACAAAATGGTACTGTCACAGCACGATGTGTTTAATTATTTTGCAAATAAAGGTGAATTTTTGAGATAAGGTCACTGTCACTCCAAAATTGCTGCTCTCTTTCTCAGAGACAAATTTTTTTACGATTGAATAAAAACCTTAATTGTTCCCGATCATGAGAATTCAGTAGACAGATTGTCATATTCAAAGAGTTGACACGTTTGAATAGGCCATACTCTCAAAAATTCACCTAATATTATCATATTTTAATCATTCATTACCATAAGAGCTATTTAGCACTATGCCCGATCCGAGTCCTTCAAAATACGGATCTAGAAAAGTAACCAGAGTAATCTGATGACAAACACCGTAAATACAAATAGTTTTACGACTAATTCAGACCGTATTTTCACGGATTCGGATAGAATGTAGTACCAGAATGCTCTAATTGAGGCTAATTAATGGATTTGCCACACTGTATGCGGTCCGGTGGCAGTGACCACAGCCTGTATGATGTATAAACAACATTGTCCATACATTTTGTATTGATGCGATCTGACAATGCAGGCACGAGCAAGGAACGCAAACTGACAAGTGCTGCATTCATTTCACCTGAACGCAGACCATCCAGTATGACAAATACTTAATTTGAAAGCGCTGCCATCTTAAATAGGCATCGTTCATTCACCTAGAATACATTAAATCATTACCAGCGTATCCACATCTTCGCAACGCCGTGACGTCACTACACTACACTACACTGTATCCGCACTATGTTGCACAACACTCATATAAGTCCGTGGCGTTTCTTGTACTCCTCGAGGTTGAGGGCCCGTTTTGGACCGGTCTCTTTCACTTTTGTTGTGACTTGCTTCGGTTGGGAGTGCACCGCTTCTGTGAACGAAGTTTAGTACTGATTAGATTATTGTTTGTTGAACTTTGCTTCTGTTGAAGTTTTGTGAATTTATAGTCAGTGTGTCCATAATACGATTTGAGTTGATCGAGATACAAACTATTTCCTGGAAAAGTATGACTTTTAGCTTCCTACGGAAAAAGAGGGTGTTATAAGTTTGACATGTCTCAAAGCTTCTGAAAAACCGGGGTACCGTGAATCTGAATAAAGGGTCTGACTTACATACCATTACATTACACGACATTATAGCGCCATCTCAACTTTTTCTACAACTTTTTAAATTTTTGCATTGGGTTTTTTTTAATTTGGTCTACATACATTTAGATCAATATAAAGGGAATCCCAGGTGAACAAAGTGGAATTTTTGTGTCCTCATTTCACCTCCTTAGTGAATAAAGGAGGCGACCATTTAGTCAACTGAATTCGCCTGTAAAATAAAGCTAGGTGAAATGGTACCGAGGTGTAATGAGGAAACTAAAAATTCTACTTTCACCCAGGTGAACAAACAGGGATAACACCGGTCAACAAAAAAAAAATTTTTTTTTTGCGCATGGATTTTACTTATTATATTCTGATTATATAAGCAAATTTATATAAAAAAGTGCGATTACAAATCGAAAATATTTGCTTTTTAAGAAGTTATAGCGATTTGATATTTACATCTTCATAGGAGAATGTCTCTAAAGATGCACGGCCCATTCTCATTGGGATATATTTATAAATAATTATGGGGGCTTATTCGCAAGAACAAGGGGCACGCTTTCATCAAAATATAGTGAGATTTGAGAGACGACGTTACTAAGGCCAGTATACTGAAAGCATGATAGGGTTAGATTTTTATGCGAAAATCTTCTATGGAACATGACAGGAAATTAGAACTTTTCATTTTTAATAAATATTTGGACTCTATTTTAAATTTTCTCTTGTGAGAATTAATCTTAAATGGATGTTTGGAATGTTTTAATAATTAGAAAGAATGAAAGAAAGAAAGAAAAAAATATATTTGGCAACCAATTGAATCATCTCTATGTTCACGTTTCATACATTCATTGATATGAATTTTTCATTTTTTTACACATAAAAGCAAATTCAGAACAATTTTTTGTTGTTATTCTTATTTCTAGGTCATAAAGCAATAAAAATAAGCTATGCATAACCCGTGCGCAAAAATGCTGTAGACAGTTGTTATCAATTTTGTTGGGTGTTGTAATCCAAAATGCGTAATGTAAGTAAGTGTAGCTTCTTTGTTGATTGCCAAGACGGTTCTGACGTAGGTAGGTAGTTGGTTCATCCACATGACTTTTAGTGCGTCGTCGGGTACTAAGCTGCCACCAAGTTCGCGCATTCGTCGAAGTAGCTGAGTAGGTTTTTGATCTCCCAGTTCTAGCCCACTAATCAGTTTCTGGAATTGTTTCGTCTCAGATTCTTGGTACACGGAGAGCAAGCGTTCTTTCAGCGCGTCATATTTTCGTTTTTCAGGTGGGTTCAATAAGATGTCACTTATTTGCTGTATCTCCGAAGTTTGTAGTACTCCTAGGACGTATCTGAATTTCTGCTCGTCGCTGATCTTCATAGGGTTTATTAGTGCTTCGTATTGCGCGAACCATAGCCGTGGATGATCGCGCCAGAAAGGAAGTATCTTCGATTGGATGGAGATTCCCGCCAAGTCAAACTTGACGTCCGGACTTTGTTCTGCGTTGAAAAATTGCGGTTCTGCGCTGCCGGAGGCGGTAGGNATCGCTTCAGCCGTTTAGGAGTAGTAGGAAATTTCTTTGGTGAAATTAGAAGAAAGTTAAGAATTTTTTCTGTCAAAACTAATAGTTGTAACAAAAAAAACGAACAACAATTTTTTAGTTTAAGATATTATACATCTCACACATATTTTTTTTTCTTGTTTGGATCATCCATTTAGGAGGAGTAGGGATTCAAAGAGAGGTCTATTTTGCAGTTTTGCCTCACCTATCGCCTTAATGCTGGTATTTCTTCAGGCCTTTATTTGTCACTAGCGGCCGCCCGTGACTTCGTACGCGTGGATCCCGTTTTACCCCTTAGTGGTGGAGTTTCGTAAAATCGTTTCTTAGTGGATGCCTACGTCATAACATCTACCTGCATGCCAAAGTTCAGCCCGATCCGTCCAGTGGTTAGGGCTGTGCGTTGATAGATCACTATGTCAGTCATTCAGTCACCTTTTAGAAGATGCATTTTGTCGCTCAATGTGCGCTGTCGTTAAATTATTAAATCGTTAAATTTTGATTTATGTATCTTTTTTATTTAATTTAATGTAATGTAATGACCGACTAATAACGAACGAACGAACTATAATTTAATTTCAACTGACAATTAATAATAATTTTAAAGATAATAATGTATTCTGACGGAAGTCACAAAATAATTCATGTACCTGAATAGGTTAAGCATAGAGCTCACTGTAATTATAATTATCACCCTTTGTTGTACCTATGTTTTATGAATAAATATATTTGATTCGATTTGATTACAAATTCCACTTTCTTCACCCAGGTGAACAATAATTAACTTTAAAAAAAAACCGACTTCAAATGCGTGAACACAAATAATACCTATTCAACAAAAAAATAATCGTTCAAATTGGTTCATAATCGGCGGAGATATTGCGTATAAAAAAGTTCATCCCCAATTTTCCACCCTTGGGGGTGAAATATTTTCTTCAAATTCGCATGCAACTACCGTTTTAATAATACCTATTCAACAAAAAAATAATCGTTCAAATTGGTTTATAATCGGCGGAGATATTGCGTATAAAAAAGTTCATCCCCAATTTTCCACCCTTGGGGGTTGTTTTTTTTATTATTAAATTTAAATGGGACCCTCTTGAGGTATTACCTACACGCCGAAAAAAGATTTGTTCAAATCGGTTCATAATTGGCGGAGTTATCGCGTAACAAACATAGAAAAAAAAACATACGGGTCGAATTGAGAACCTCTTCCTTTTTTTGAAGTCGGTTGAAAAGGGATAATCAATATAAAGCTAAGTACTAAGTATACTCACTGGCGACAGGCAGGTCGAGGTCGATGTTGATTTCGAAGTCGTGCAGCGAATACAGGCTCGCGTTGTCGCCCGCCGGCTTGGCTTTAGGCTTCTCGGGCTCTTGCGGCTGGAATCATAATTAAATGATAAATAAATATCTTTGGACATTTTACACTGCGCTTCTAGTCCCAAACTAAGCAAAGCTTGTACTATGGGTACTAGACAACGGATATAAACATACTTAAATACTTTTTTTTTTGTAAATACATACTTATTATACATAGAAAACATCCAGTCCAATACAAACAAATGTGTTCATGCACACAAATGTTTGTACTGTGCGGTAATCGAACCCGCTACCTCCGGAATAGTAGTCCGTTTCAAACCACTAAAACAGCACCAAACGGCCGACTTGTAATTAATTGTAACTTATGTTATACTGAATGGGATTAAAACATAGACCATAACTAAAATGACGGTGAAGACGGTTTTTTTTAAATCCATCAAGAAATCAATTATTTAAATAACCTACTGTTTGTACTCCGAATGAGTACCGTGACGTCACCGATCAAATGGCGCGAAATATTTGTTATGCACAACTTTGGGGCCATGTAACTTCTTTATTTGTAGAGATATTTACATGATTCTTTCACAATTATTATTGGTTTTACTTATATTGTCGGCCGTTTGGTGTAGTGGTTCGAAACGGACTACTATTAAGGAGGTAGCGGGTAAGATTCCCGCACAGTGCAAACATTTGTGTGCATGAACATGTTTGTATTGGACTGGGTGTTTTCTATGTATAATAAGTATGTATTTACAAAAAAAAAGTATTTAAGTATGTTTATATCCGTTGTCTAGTACCCATAGTACAAGCTTTGCTTAGTTTGGGACTAGAAGCGCAGTTTAAAATGTCTAAGGATATTTATTTATTTTCAAGTTATATTAATAGAAAAAAATTGGAAACTTCTCCATTTGGAGCTATAGTGCGACGTCAGCCTAACGCTGTAACGCGCGCTAAGTACGCGTTCTGTTTGGAGAAGCCTTAATAGCTGTACCAGGCCTGTTCATTTCCGCGAGTTTACATCGAAAACAAAACACGCACGATGGCCCACCTACAGGATACTATTCGACAAGGCCTCACATACGAGCGAGCATTGACTCACGCACGCGTATTCTTGTGTATGATGGAAGAAAAAAAAGAAAATGGTGTAATAAATACTGTGCAATATTTAACTGCCTAAATAATAATAAAAACACAGAATGTATTTTTTTAAGTTGCCTCAAGACACTGAGAGGTAAATAAGTAGTTAATATTATTCATGATAATACATTCTAAATCATGTATTTCCTCCGTCATTTTCCGCAGTTTGGCACCTCACGTCACATCATTTTACCGAAGTCAGCCCTATAGCTTCGGCGCAGTGCCGATCACTGACGTTTGTCAACAAAATGGTGTTTGACTCTTGAGACAGGCTAAATTACACCATTATTGTTAATGACATTGAGCATAGATTTTTTTAAATACCTTCGCGAAGTAAAACTTCTGTACGTAGTACTTATTATTATTCTGTGGCTGTAGTAACTAAGAGTAACTTACCGCCACGAGCCTTTCTTTCTCTTGTCTGGCTTTAGCCTCCCTCTCTTCTTCATCTCTCTGCTTCTGCGCCTCGGCGGCGGCCTCTTCGTTTCTTTGTAATTCCTGTTAAAAAATCATGTTAAAACATTATCAGCCTGGGCAAATCATAACCAAGCTACTAGAGATATACTTAATAGGCTAGATTCCTAAAAAAGAAACTTTAACGCCCGTTTTCACCATCAATCCCTATTTTTTAAGTGACCCCTATGGTAACAATTAACAGGAATTTTGTGGTCAACTTTTCAACTTAAAAACTTAAAAAAGCCGTCAATTGCATTATCAAAAAATATTGGACATGTTTTGTTTTATTTGTCAATCAAACAAGCAATTACGAAGTTATGGTGCGTTGAAGTTCTGCGTGAAGTCACAAAGTGCTACACTTTTAAGTACGCCTTGACGTTAAGGGCCTTTTTTATGAACTTTGGTGCGCTTTATCTCTTTACATTTTAATTACTCTGAAAACTTCTGAATAGTTGATAATGGTCAATTGTAACCTAATGGCTTCACACATAATATAGCAAATAAACTAACACTCAAAACTCAATTTCATTTATACATTCTGTCTTTTGATTGGTATTAAAATTCAACCTATCAAAAGATTTAATTAATCTGTGTTTAAACCACTAAGACCTTGAAACCACTGTACTCCAAACACAACGGGAATTTTTAGTGCAAAAATTAATAATACTGTCTAGCATCTAGCTAGACAAAGTTGTGGTTTTTACTGACCTGGCTTCTGTTGCCGTGTTTGCTATTGAAATTCATGACGGGCTTGGTGTGTCGCCGCGTGAACGGGTCGTCGATTTTCTTGCCTTTGTTCGCTTTCACCTGGGGACAGAATTAATAAACTTATAAGAGCTGTGACAATTAATATTAATTATTTATCTGTGTCACCCTCCTGGCTAGACGGTTTGAGAAGAGAAAGTGAGAGAGATGTTATAATAAAGTCAAAGTCAAAATTTCTTTATTTGTATAGACCCGTGTTTTTCAATCTGGGGGTCGCGAAGCCTTTATAGGGCGGTCACCAGAGGTCGAAAAACTACCTCAGTAAATAAACAATAAAGTTTTAAGATAGATTTATCCGAAATCAAATTTATGCAAATGCGTGTCATGAAATTATGTCATTAGCAGTGGACATCCTGGATCATTGTACGTATATGGATCATTGCAAGTCCATGTTTAACAGAGGACATTCTGGATTATTTGGAGTATATGTTTAGCAGTAGACATCCTGGATCATTGGAAGTCTATGTTTAGCAGTGGACATCCTAGATCTTAGGACGTATCTGGTTCATGGGAAGTCTATGTTTAGCAGTGGACGTCCTGGATCATTGGACGTATCTAGATCATTGGAAGTCCATGTTTTAGCAGTGGACGTCCTGGATCATTGGACGTATCTAGATCATTGGAAGTCCATGTTTTAGCAGTGGACGTCCTGGATCATTGGACGTATCTAGATCATTGGAAGTCCATGTTTTAGCAGTGGACGTCCTGGATCATTGGACGATTCTGGATCATTGAAGTCCATGTTTAGCAGTGGACGTCCTGGATCATTGGACGTATCTAGATCATTTGAAGTCTAGCAGTGGACATCCTGGATCATTGGACGTATCTGGATCACTGGAAGTCCTATAGCAATAACCTACCTCCTCCATAATAGCCTTCTCAGCCGTCTCCACATTAAGCTTGCGGTTCCTGTTGTTGATGTAAGAGATGCTCTGAATACTGGAGGTGCGAGTCTTGTCGAGGTGGCTGGCGCGCTCCTCCAATTCTTGGATCTTGGCGTTCAGGTCCATTACTAGCTCGTCGTCGCCTCTGTGGGAGATACACAATAATTATTATTATCTATACTAAGTATAAATGCGAATGTCTGTCTTGCTTACACGCCTAAACCACTGAACTGATTTTGATGAAATTTGGCATAGAGATAGTTTGAGTCCCGGGAAAGGACATAGGATAGTTTCTATCGCGGTTTTAGAAACAGGGTGGCGCGTGATAAAGTTTTTCTGTTACAGACAAAATTCCACGCGGGCGAAGCCGCGGGCAGAAAGCTAGTATTATTATAATTCTCAAGCAGTTGGGACTGCTTCGGGCGGTTGGCAGCACAGAAATGTCTAGCAATCGCCAGGCATACAGTATGCTTAGTGCGAGTTTGCATTGAACGTCGTCGTTAGCGAGTGCGTCAGAAAAATTTTGAAGATTTTAGTTCTTGAAAGTATCCGCTAGGCACGCTGTACAATCCGTAATACATTTAATGTCATTTTTTACGCAGTAGCGAAGACGTTTGTAAGCTCGCACTAAAGTAGACTTGATATGCAATAAACAATTTGAATTTGAAAGTCCCCAGACCTCGTGGCCCTAATTGGGAACTGAAGCTGGAACTAGACTTTCGTGTATAACGGCCTTAACGTAACAAAGTTTGTGTGTCTCTGCTGGGAACGGAACCTGGGACTGGACTTGCCTGAGTTGCGCGACGTCGCGCTCCTTCATGAGCTGCGTCTTCTTCATGGCGTAGTTGGTGGGATGCGAGCGGAATCTATCTTTCTCGGCTACTATCTTTTCTATGTCTTCTTCCTGTGAATATAAAAAAGATTAATTTAGATAAATAGATACGAATACATATACTTAATTGTCTCAAAAAACATTGTATTATATTAGGTATATTTTTAAAAATTCTTTCACCATTCGAAAGCTACTTTATCCACGATTAACATAGGCTAAGTTTTTTATTTTGGAAAAAAATAGGGTTCCGTTAAATATATAGATAATGTAGATAAAAATGTTTGGAATGTTTAACTGCCTAGCTCGCATCAATACTTATGACTATAATTTATATATTTTAAAGACTGTAAACCCTTGAAAAGGAGGCTGACAATAGTGTCTGAGTTTCTTGCTCTGCTTCTTCTCAGCACTGGCACATTTATTGTCCCGAAGCAGTGGCAGGGTTAATACTGGGTCGTGTAAAAGTGCTTTTTAAAAGCCTATTTAATGAGTTTTTATGATGTCTGACCTTAAACTCGTACATAAGCGCGTCACGGACTTCAGCGATCTTGGAACGAACGTAGTCCATAGTTGGAGCGCGTTTGTTCGCGTCGCGGATGGCCGCGTGCCACTTGGTGAATTCGCTGTCGGTGAACTCCTAGGGAAATAAACACAGATTTATTAACAAGGAAACATTAGTTATTTAATTTCTAGCATTAAGAGATGCATCTCAAACTAGAGGCAAATGAAGTATTAGTAAATTTTGAAACACTTCCTCGGTAGCCAACTGGATTGAGGAGTCCTGATTTTTAAGTCTTTAGAAAATAAGCTAGTTGACACTGTATCAGTTGACGTTTTAATTACGAGCTGTCGAATCGCGATTATATCATAGATTTTACGTGGATTCAACCAATACAGCAACTTATAACACCTTGTTACTTTGCTACATGTTTTCAATTGAGCTCAAATCTTACACAAAGGGAATAGAGTCCAAAATACCTTGAAGTGATTTGTAAAACTGTCTGGCAAGGAACTGTCAAAACTGTCTAGCTGTTGGGGAAAATACTTCTAATTATTTCCCAAATGTTAAACATAAAAAATCACATTTTATGGTATAACGTAAGTCTAACTTTTACGGTGGCTTTTTCTGTATATTCAATAGACTATTAGGCTAGTTGCCTAAAAAAATTTTTTTAGTCCGTAATGTTTAATATCAAAAAATATTGGACACGTATATTTTTATTTGTCAATCTAACAAATAATTACATAGTTATGGTGCGTTGAAGTTGCGCACGACGTCACAACGTGCGGCATTTTTAAGCAAGCGTTGACGTCACGGGCCTCTTCTTATGAACTTTGGGGCGCTTTATCTCTTTAAATTTTCATTAGTTTGAAAAAGTGAAAAATACGTGTAGAGTATTTTTTGATAAGTTAACTGACGGACTAATTAAAACTCTTGCTTTTTGATTTTTAGTCCGTAATGTTTAATATCAAAAAATATTGGACACGTATATTTTTATTTGTCAATCTAACAAATAATTACATAGTTATGGTGCGTTGAAGTTGCGCACGACGTCACAACGTGCGGCATTTTTAAGCAAGCGTTGACGTCACGGGCCTCTTCTTATGAACTTTGGGGCGCTTTATCTCTTTAAATTTTCATTAGTTTGAAAAAGTGAAAAATACGTGTAGAGTATTTTTTGATAAGTTAACTGACGGACTAATTAAAACTCTTGCTTTTTGACCCAGGCAACATCCCCATTCTACTAACGTTATACGATAAAGCTACCCCACACATACATCAAATTCAAATATTATAGTCAGTCTTCTCACCTGATTGCTGACGAACTCAAGCCTGAACACTCGGTCTTGAGTCCCGTGTCTCAGCTTGAGTCCCTTGTTGGTGCGCGTGTTGCCCAAGTTGTATACCTTCGCCGTCTCATAAACGTCTATGATTTCTGCTACCTAAAGGAAAAATAATAATAAATATGTAACACATTTGTTGCTACATAAAATAATACTTAAAAGTATAAATTGTTGCTACATTTAAAATAATACATGTTAAGGTGTGGTTAAAATAAACTCTTGAGTAAGATTTCTCACGTATATTTCAAGTAAAATAAAACGTATTACAAATCAAACAGTCATGGCGAGAACAACCGAACAACGAACCAAAAACAAACCCCTGGCGGTATTCAAACGAACTATTTACCTTTTTAAGAATACCACGCAAAGATATTAAGTATTATAAAATTTACATCTTAACAATACATATGAGTTTCCTTGTGAATTATTTTGGCATCAAATCATTAATTCTTTTTCAATGATGTGTAAACTTACAAATACTAAAGTACGAAATCTAATGCCGTGTTTAGTTGATTTTAAAATTGAACAAACTTCAAACGCGTGTATCTTTTATGTTCCCAGCCCAATTTAAAATATTTTTTTACAGATTATTATTTTTAGAATATAAGATTTTAGATTATTAGTAAATTCCCGTTAGCCCCTCGTACTAAGCTAAATATGCTTGTATCGCGAGTGAGCCACAATAGTCGAGCGGCGGCGGGGACCGAACCCGCGTTCCCCGGATCACGAGTCGGCCAGTCCGACCACTTCACCGTTCGGCTATCGTGGCTTAAAGATAAGTTAGATTAAGTAGGGCTTGGCCTACTCCAAAATGGTTCAGTGCCCACACAATTACCTAAGTATGACACCAGATTTGAGACCTCACTTGAGCTCTCATTAGTTTTCTTAGCAACATTCAAAATCAAAATTTTCTTTATTTGTTTAGACTAATTAAATGAGTACTTGCAAATCGTCAAATGCTCTTAAGGAGCCTATACATGCCTCATTCTTTTTTTGCCCTACCAGCGCTTCGAGACAAACATTTGGCAAGTGCTGAAAAGAAGCGCCGCAACAAACTCAGTCACCACTGTCTGCCGGTTTAAAAATATAAAAAACTAGGAAGTTACAATATATTGTCCCCATTTTCCGGCAACTTACCCTATAGACGGGATTCCCGTTGTTGTTCCCGATCCCGATCCTGACGAAGCATCCCGTCACCACGCGCGCGAAGAACGGAAGGTGAACCAAACGCTCCAGTTTGAACCTGAGGAAAAATATGCAATTGTAAATAAATAGCGAAAGTGTGTTCGTTTGAGTGAATTTATCAGCAAATGAGTGATTGAGTAAGTTAAGCCATGTATATGTCGCAGTCAGATTGTATAATCCGCCGTTTTACATTACAGCTAGGCATTTTGCATTACAGCTCTGTTTTGTAATACGGCGGATTAACGTTTAGCCGGATTGAATACGGCTGAATGAAAATCCGCCGGAATGTATTCGGCGCCAAACGTTCTTCAATACGGCTAGCCGTAATGTAAATAAAACAGCGTGTCATTACCCGCCGCTTTGACAGTTTTTAGTTCCTATTTTCAATACCGTGGCGCTGCCGGACAAAGTGGCTATGGATTCTGGTGTTCGGCGGAATCCTACACAATATTATTAGTGTAAAAATATGAAATCATGGCTGTGGCCGGTGAAAATAATTTTATCTTAAAGAAAAATAACCCAGAAAAAATGACTAAAACTTTATAGTTTTGAGTTACCTGTTCCCTTTGATAATTTTTAATGTCTAAAAAAGACTAAAGCCAAGTATCTAATTAATTCTTAAAATGTTTAGAAAAGTCTAATTGTTTTGAGTCACTTTTTTTTAGATGGCTATCCCTTGTGATTTTTATATAAGTAAAAAAAAAATACTGAAGCCAAATATATTATTTAGTATACAGTAACGAAGGTAATAATTCTTAAAATCTGTCTTATTACAATTTATTTTCATTAAACATTGTTTTATTTTGTAAGTATGGTCACCCTACAATATGTAGTAGTACGATGCGGCTAAACGTGGGCCGCCGTATTGAAGAACGTATCGCAATGACAATCCGCCTAAACGTTGAACCGCCGTATTACAAAACAGAGCTGTAATGTAAAATGCCTAGTGGTAATGTAAAACGGCGGATTATACAATCCGACTGCGACATATACATTAGGCAACATTTGTTGATAAACACTGTTTATAAACTGTTTCATAATGTTTCTTCATCATCTCTGTTAACAGTCCATAAACATAGGTGATGAAACATTGTTTATGATACATGTTGCCGTGCTCCCCGCTATGAGTGGAGAGCAAGTGTGGACGGCCAAGTTTCAGAAACCTGTGTTTATGGTAAACGTATCAACAAATGTTGCTTTGAATACATGGCTCTAATGAGTGACTTTTGTCATTGAAGGCTGATTTACACGTAATAAGTATAGGTAACTAAATTTTAACTTAATTTTTAGGGTAAGTTGGTGGGCGGGGCTTGTCACTTGACACGTTTTGACAAGCAGTTTCATAGGAAACAAGAGCTTGACGTTCGTACAGACTTAAAATTAAGTGAAAATTTAGTTACGATGTAATTTGATCACTTAAAATTAAGTTAAAATTTACCTATTTAACTTTCTATAGTGGGCAAGTAAGTTAGTAAATGAGTGAGTGAGTGACTTTCTTAGGGCATGAAAAGTGAGTGAGTTCTTCAGTGAGTGAGTGAATGGGTTCTTCAGTGAGCGAGTTGTTCAGTGAGTAAGTTCTTCAATGAGTGAATGGGTTCTTCAGTGAGTCAATGGGTTCTACAGTGAGAGATTGAATGAGTTATTCAGTGAGACAGTGAGTGGGTTCTTCAGTGAGTGAATGGGTTCTTCAGTAAGTGAATAGGTTCTTCAGTGAGTGAATAGATTCGCCAGTGAGTGAGTGAGTTATTCCGTGAGTGAGTGAATTTGTTCTTCAGTGAGTGAGTTCTTCAACCTGAAAACTGACCTGCTAAGCCTGAGCTTGTTGATCTGGTCGCGGGTGTCTGCGTACTTGACCTCGACCTCCTCGCGTTTCTTCAGTGAGTGAGCGAATGAGTTCTTCAGTGAGTGAGTGAATGAATGAGTTATTTAGTGAGTGAGTGACAAACGACCTTATGAGTGAGTGAGTTCTTCAAAGAGTGAGTGAATGGGTTCTTCAGTCAGTGAATGAGTGAGTAAGTGAATGACAACAAACCTGCTAAGCCTGAGCTTGTTGATCTGGTCGCGGGTGTCTGCGTACTTGGCCTCGACCTCCTCGCGTTTCGTCAGTGAGTGAATGGGTTCTTCAGTGAGTGAGTGAATGAATGAGTTATTTAGCGAGTGAGTGAGTGACAAATGACCTTTTGAGTGAGTTCTTCAAAGAGTGAGTGAATGGGTTCTTCAGTGAATGAGTGAGTAAGTGAATGACAACTGACCTGCTAAGCCTGAGCTTGTTGATCTGGTCGCGGGTGTCTGCGTACTTGACCTCGACCTCCTCGCGTTTCTTCAGTGAGTGAGTGAATGAGTTCTTCAGTGACTGAGTGAGTAAATGGGTTCTTCAGTGAGTGAGTGAGTGAGTGATTTGTTCAGTGAGTGAGTGATTTGTTCAGTGAATGAGTGAGTTCTTCAGTGAGTGAGTGATTTGTTCAGTGAATGAGTGAGTTCTTCAGTGAGTGAGTGAGTGGGTTCTTCAGTGAGTGAATGAGTTATTCAGTGAGTGTGTGGGTTTTTCAGTGAGTGAATGAATGAATTTTTTAGAGAGTGAATTCTTCAGTGAGTGAGTTCTGACCTGCTAAGCCTGAGCTTGTTGATCTGGTCGCGGGTGTCTGCGTACTTGACCTCGACCTCCTCGCGTTTCTTCTCCTCCTCCTCGCCGCTAGACGACGACGAGCTGGACGAGCTCCTACGGCCACCTGCGACACATTATTTGAGTTAAAACAGGGCAAAAGCCAGCAGATCAAGCGCCGCAAATGGAACTGGACTGGCCACATTCTCTGAAGGGAACCAGACCACATCCCGAAGCAGGCTCTGGATTGGAACCTCCAAGGAAAACGCAAACGTGGACGCCCCAAGCAAACTTGGCGGCGCACTGTAGCAGACAAGACGAAGAAAATCGGCAAGACTTGGAGCGAGATCAAACGCGAAGCTCAAGACCGAACGCGATGGAGGACTGTTGTGGACGCCCTCTGCCCCATCTAGGGGACATAGGACCTTTAAGTCAAGTACAACATAAGTCATCGAATACGCTATCATGCTCTTGTTAGACTATGCATTACGTCACCGTGGCGAGAGTATTTGCTAAACTTAACTGACATTAACATAGCTCGTAGAATTACTTTTCCTTTGACGGAAATGTTCTTGGCTGGAAGATGTAGTGAAAATCTAAAATAATTTATTCAGTTTAGACCAATATTTTGGTACTTATGAACGTCAAAAATAATAATAAAATCAACCACGTCCATCCACAAGGTGGACTGTCGACCTCTGGAGGTAGCAAGAAGGCGCTGGATGCAGGCCGCTACCAACCGGTCATTATGGACAACCTTTAGGGAGGCCTATGTTTTTTTTTGTATGAAGTTTGACAGACTTTTGACGTGTGTAACCCAGGGTTAAAGTTAGAGTATAGTTACCTGTAGACTTGTTATCCTCCGAGTCTGAGCCCGAGTCGTCGGAGTAGATGTCAGACGCCTTCAGCTTGACGCTCTGCTTGCCGGAGCCGCCGATGAGCTCATCAGCGTCCTGCACACACACGGGAGTGTCTGACATCACCTTGGGAGACACCTTATACGTTAGAAGGTAATTACTAATATACCTATCACCCATGCTTGAACTGCGCTCTCACATATTAAAAACCACTTGCTTCCTTCATTGATGTCATATGTTACAAGCCATTTGTGACACGCGAGGGTCTGATATCACTTGAGAGAGCCATAGTCTGGTCTGGGAGCACGTAGAATTTTGTCCAATGACCCCAAGCTACCCATCCTTATCGCTCGCGCGTAATTATGTTGCTGTTATGTCTATTATGTCGCTCGCACACTCACTGCGGGCGCGCGTCGCACAGTCGCGACAGAAATATAATTACGCGCGAGCGATAAGGATGGGTAGCTTGGGGTCATTGGTCAAAATTCTACGTGCTCACAACAGACCGGGCTTTAATATACCTATTACCCATCCTTGAACTGCGCTCTCACATATTAAAACTCGTCCCCACATTAAAAACCACTTGCTTCCTTCATTGATGTTATATGTTACAAGCCATGTGTGTCGTACACACGCGACGGTCTGATATCACTTGAGAGCTAGCGTGTTACAACATGTTTTCTTAGGGAATGACTTATAATTTTCCCATAGTATTAATATGCCTATGCTTAAACTGCGCTCTCACATATTTTAACTCGTCCTCAGCCTCGCATGTTAAAAGCTATTTTATTTTTAACGAATTTGATGTTACATATTACAAGCTATTTGCTTTCTTGATCCTCAATTATAAGTAACTTGCGTTTTGAACACACACGCGAACATCTGACATCACATTGAGACATAAGTACTCATTAGTTAAAAGAAAGTATTTACTGATATTCCCATGCTTAAACTGCGCTCTCACATATTAGAAGCCATTTGTATCCTGCACAAACACGCAAGTGTCTGACATCACCTTGGGAAAGAGAGCCAGCGAATTAGGAGATGTTTGCTTTGGGAATGACTATGATTTACCGATAGTATTTATTATACCCATTAATCCTGAATCCTCACACATTCGAACTCTTCCACACATATTAAAAGCCATTAGTTTTTTAATGAACTTGATGATGTAAAGCCAGTTAGTTATGATGTCTTAATGAGCACGATGAAAAATCATTTGCTCTTTATTGAGCTTGAGCTGACCTCCAGTCTCGTCTTCTATTTGTCCTTTTCCACTCTAGTGGCTTTAGCTAGACTATAATTTTTATGAGTTTCTAATCTTTATTCTTCTCTTCCTCCAGTTTCTCTTCTATTTGTCCTTTTTTCTAGTGGCTTTTGGCGTATTTACTGTCTCTTGGTATGTTTATCTCTCTCATGGTCTTTGAAGCAGTAATTGCGTTAGTTATGAATGTTAATAGCGTCTATCAAATTCAAATAAATAAATGACGAATACCATCTTAGTTGCACAGTTTACGTCACTCGGCAGCAATGATAGAACACATAAACTTTGATTAATGACAACACCCAACAAAACGAAGAGCGCCAGTTAACGCCACTGGCGAGTAAGGATGTCACTCGCTAATGGCGTCAAATGGCGAGCGTTAAGTTAAAATAACACACATAAACATTGGTTATTTATAAATAACACCCAATAAACGAATAGCATGAGTTGGCGCCACGTGCAAATAAGATCTTGTCGCTTTCTGATGGCGCCAACTGGGCGCTAAGTTAAAGATATCACACAAAATACCATTAACGACAAAATGACACCCAAAAAAATACTAGCGCGATTTAGTTGGCGTCACTCGCCAATTGACGCCACTGGCGAGTAATCCTGTCACTCATCAGGGGCGCAAACTGCTGAGCGTAAAGCATACACTTCATCTTGATTAATAACAAGAGAGCGCGTTCGACAACTGATAATATTGAATCTCGTTAACATAGATCTTGACCAATGGCAAGGTGCCATTGTGGTCAAATACCTGCCTTGTTTTGCATAAAAAAAAACGCGTTCGACAGTGGCGCCAACTCATAACATTGAACTTCGTTAACATATACCATATTTAAACACAAAAGAACACCCAAATAACGTCATCCTTGACCTCAAGCTACTCACATCCTCTTCTTCTTTATCCTTGTTCTTTTCTTCTTCCAATCTTCTCTTCTGCTTGTCTTTTTCCACTCTGGTAGCTTTGGCGTCCCTCTGCGCTCGAAGTGCGGCCATTGCGTTCTGTCGACGATCATCGACGTTCCGTTTTCGGCCTTCGGTCTTGGCGCCGAAGAGAGGTGACGCGGAGCGCTCTGCCGATTCTGGTGGATACAATTTGGTGGTTAATTTTGTGGTACAGACATGAGATGATACATGTAAGGACTTGTTCCCACGGAGACATGCCATTTTTTGTATGATCCCGTTTAAAAATTTCATGTTTTAATATTAACGTTCACATGAACATGCCGTTTGCAATATCCTGCAAAAATCAAATTCGTTGAAATTTGTAATTAGAATTTCTACACACACATGAGTATTCACACGACAGTTCATTTTTGCGGGCTCCTGAATTACTGGATTCCCGCGGAAACGAGTGGCAACATTGTGGCAATGTGTATAGAATAAATAAAAATAATTAAATAGTACCAAAGACCTATCAGGAAGGCGCTGGGTGCAGACCGCTATCAACCGGACCATGTGGAAATGATTGGCTATGATCAGCAGTGGACGTCCTATGGCTAAGGCTGAAATGATGATGATGATGAATAACAAAGACTATTTTACCTGCGTCTTTAGAGTCGTCCAGTATCTCTCCGGGGCTCGGTGGTGTTTGTTGTTCCTTTTCTGTCTCAGTTTCCATCGGCTTTTCTGGTTCTGGTTCTGTACAGAGGAAATAAATATGAAAATCAGTGACAAAATCAAGACACAATGAAAGAATAAATAAAATGCAGAATTGCCAAACTTGCTAGTGGGCTCGAGAGCTGATGGCTGGAAGACGTAATATGAGCTGGTCCAGTTGGTGGACCGACGCTTTGTCCGAGAGGTCGTAAAAACTACCTCAGTAAAAAAACATTAAAGTTATATAGATATGTATCCCAAATCGAATTATGCAAATGCATAAATGTTGTATGGATAGAAGTATTCGGTCCTTACAAACATCTTTGTATAAAAAAAAATGCATGAAAAAAAAAAGCAAACGGGTGTCTTAAAATATTTTTTCGTACTAGGGGGGTCGTGTCAAGGAAAATGTTGAAAAACACTGCTCTAGAACACCTGCAAATCATCACTACATTACACTAGAGCAGAGGTTCCCGAATGGTGGTCCGCGGAACCCTGGGGTTCCGTGAAAAGGCCGCAAGGGTTCCGTAAAAAATATTATACCACGTTTCGTGACCGACGTTGTTAGCTCGCACCGACTTGTTTACGCACAAGGGAGGGGCAGGGCGTGCGGACGGAGTAGTACGGGGGTCCCGCTAGGAAAAGTATAATCAATTAGGGTTCCTTGGCAAAAAAAAATTGGGAAACCCTGTACTAGACCCACTGATCGCGTTCGAAGCTCCTGTGCGGCGCTAAACTCGTCACGACATGCAACGAGACAATGGGCCAACTATCCGGCCGCCGGATATCCGGCTATCCGGCCTAGCAGCTGGCCGGATATCCGGTATCCGGCCAAACAACTATCCGTTTCATCTCTAATGTAGTTTAAAAAAAAAAAGCGCACCAAATTAAAAAATCCCGCCGCGCACAGTACATACAAACGTTAAGTGGCTTCGATTGCAACCAACTAATTAATCAAATTTACCTGCGCATCCCCAGTCGCTCCCAGCGTATACGAGATGCTTACACTCACAGACTTTTTGCTCCTAAACGATGTCGAACTAACGCTGGCAAAAGAGCTCCTTTATGGCGATTAATGGATGCATACAACAAATATTTTACTGATATCGATTTATTTGTAGTGTCTCCCTCAAAGTTCAGAAAGTGCATCCTTGATGTATTAACGAATGTACCTTAATTGTATTTGTTTTTTCTCTTCTTTGCATTAAGTTAAAGCACATATAACACTGTTTGTTTGCTTGGTTAGCTTGTACCAAAATAAGTTTGTAATATTACTATGAGGATAATAGTGCTGGTTGCGTAATAGTATAAGTTTATTTAATGTTCAGCAGTTGTATTTGCAATATTGCGCAATTGTTTGTTATCCCAAATAAAATAAAATAAAATAAATAAATAAATAAGACCTCTCTGAAGTTAGCTGTCAAAAATGTAAGTGGCCCGTCGTTAACGACTGAATCCACCATTTGGCTCGACTCTTCAAAAGGTAGCCTTGCATTACACCAACCAGCTATTTAGCGGCTCCTGCAAATCAATTCTATACTCTGGTCCGTGAGCACGTAGAATTTTGTGCTCGCACACTCAGTGCGGGCACCCGTCGCACAGTCGCGACAGCAATATAATTACGCGCGAGCGATAAGGATGGGTAGCTAGGGGTCATTGGACAAAATTCTACGTGCTCCCGGACCAGACTTTACGTCACTACTCTCCGAAGGTGACTGACCTGCCGCAGGCGGCGGGCGCGCCTCGTGTCTCTGCTTGAGCTGTCGGCGGCGGCGGCGCGCCTCCCGGCGGCGGGCCACCTGCCCCGGCGACGCCGCGCGCTCCGCCGCCGAACGCCGGGCTAAACGGAGCTTGCGCTCGATCTCCCATCTGCAAGTAACATGCGGTTACAGTGTTGGAAAAAATATCAATATACACCGGTCATCACAAAAATCGGCCCACCTATGTTTTACAGGAAAACTCGTTTCTACTGACATAATCATGGTGCCCCAACAATATTGGTATTATTTGAAAGATCAAAAAATATCCTTAAAAAAACACATTTAATTTCTTAATAAACGATTAACATAAACGCGACATACAATAAATGTGACTTGAAAAAAGACCTCACTTTGGGCTCACCTCTGGGATCAATTAGACCAAATTTTATGGTTATAAAACCAAATAATGATCACACGTGTCCTCTTTAACAGATGGATAGCGATTAATCCCAACTTAACAGTTTTATAGCCACAAAAAAGTTGGCTCAAGGGTAACTACCTATTTTTTGAAGAAGTGACTCTGGATTTTTCTACAGACACATTTTTGGGGTAAAAACCTTTCCTTTAATTAAATGAAGTTTAGAACTAGGCTTTTAAATGGTAATATAGTATAGTAATATTGGTGGGAAGTGGGGATGCATACGTTTGAAAGTGCTTGTCGCGGGAGGGTCGATTTTTATGATGACCAGTGTAGTATTAGCGACATCTTTTGATAACTATGTGAACTAACTGTCAACGTAAAGTTTTTAACTTGAAAAATAAAAGACAGTTGTTATTCTGCAACTAAGGTGTTAGATTTGTAAAAAGTCTGGTAAAACTCGAGTGATTTCCAATTTGATTTTTAATATTGAAACTGTCATAAACAAATTAACAATAAAGAAACAACATCACAATATCAATATCAAAATATAAAAAAAAATATAGCTGTTGAGTTTCTGATAAACTAAATAAATAAATCACAAGACCACGCGTCTAAAATGTTCTTAAAATTCCTTCAATTTCAAAAAGAGGCAATAATGTAGCAAAACATACCTGGTCTTCATGAGGTCTCTCCTCTCGATTCTCTTGAAGATTTCCTGTTCTCTCTCTTTTTCCGACATGGCGGCCAAACGCGCTCTGTCCTCTTCATCACCCATAAGATTTTCATCGTAACTGCACAGAAGAAAAGTCACTTAAAACACTTACTTATTAGAAAACTCTAACTGTAACCACTAGTTACAGAAAAAGGCAATACATAGTTCGTAAAAATCAAGCTGTAACCAATAGATACAGTACAAGTTTCATTTAGTAAAACCAGGTACCCACTGCTGTGAATACTAGATGCAGTGAAAAATAGACTTCTACTTATATGAAGTGAAAATAATGTACACAAATATGTTCACTATGAAATAAAAACTATAAAACATGAAATAAAATGATTACCCATCATCGAATTCCTCTTCTGAATCAATGGAGTCATTGTCGGAAGAATGTGATGATACTTCACCTAGAAAGAAAGGCTCAAATGAAAAATCTGATACCTTCAACACCAAAGTTATAGGGTAAAATAAAATCATTGAACCTTACCTTCTTCTGGTTCGCTATACGTGTCTTTCTTTTTCCCTGAACTGTTACTGTCGGTGCTCTTTCTGACTTCAACTTTCTTCGGTTCCGGCTTCTTTCTGCTGTCATGGTCCGAATGGTCTGTAGATGCCTTTCTGGAGTTACGGCCTTGTTCCTTTTTAGTTGAAGTGTCGCTGCCTGCATCGCTGTCCGAGTCCGAACCGGACGATGATGACGATTTAGCTGTAATAAATAGAATTTGTTAAAGCTGAAGAGTTTGTTTGTTTGTTTACTTGAACGCGCTAATCTCAGTAACTACTGGTCCGATTTGAAAAATTCTTTCAGTGTTGGAAAGCCTATTTATCGAGGAAGGCTATAGGCTATATTATACCATCATGCTACGAGTAATAGGAGCAGAGCAACAATTTTTCAAAACGAGTTTTTACGCGTACGAAGTTGCAGGCACAGCTAGTTATACATAAAGAAAAATACTAGGCTGACAAGTGACTGAGTTTCTTGCGCTGCTTCTTCTCAGCACTGGCCCATTTATTGTCTTGAAGCAGTGGCAGGGTCAACGCTGGGACGTGTTTAAGTGCTTTTAAAGGCTTACTTAGAAAAATAACATTACTTTTATGAGTTTACATTATAGTTTACAGCTTAATGCATGTTTTAGGCCAAGTGATAAAAGAAACTCCTGAAGTAGAAGGTTCTACGTAACCAAGAGATACACAGAGTCACAAAGTTTGTTCTTGATAATTGAAATTAAATCAAAATTATTGCTATTCTGAAGATGATTCATGTAAAAATCATCAACCTATCTAGCCAGTGTCAATTTGCGAATTTGGCAATTTGCGAATTTGACAAAGTAAGTATCTGGCACATTGCAACCGCTTGACAATTTGCGCATAAACGAATATAGAATTGATTTAGATTTTTTTAAATGTCAAGCTAAATTCTGTGAGATCTTATGTAGTGGTAATAAGAGTGATATTACAATAAAAATGTATTGTCTAATGTGCTGACATCAGTACAGTCAGCATCAAATAGATCGTGACACCCAAAGTAGCCAAAAAGTTTGCAATACTTCTTTATTACAATAGGCTACATGACAAAATTGCAATTATTTGTCCGTCAGACAGATAATTAGAAAATATTTGACTCATATTTTTTGTTTTCTTTCATAATTCAATGATTTTTTACTCAAAAGTGACGTCACACGACATTACAACTCAATATAATACGGTATGATTTAATTATGAAAAAAAATATGTGTCCAATATTTTTTTATTATGTGTCTGACGGACTAAACATAATTTCGATTTCATTACCTAGTCATCATCCCTATTGGAATAAGGTTGCGTTATCAAATTTTTGGCCACTTTGGGTGTTACGAACTAATTGACACTGACTGTACAATCAAACAAAATGTTTTTTTACTTACATCCTTTTTTATCATTGTCGTCCCAATCTGATTCACTGTCTGACGATTGTCCTTTAGATTTCGAGGGTGGTGGTGAATCACTTTTCTTCTTCTTCTTTGCTAAATTCAAAAATTGCTGCAACAAAAACATACAAAGCTATAAAAAACTTCCTTAACACTAGAAGTGCCGAAGATTACGACCCCCCTAAAAGCGCCGCTGGGTCAATTTTGTCCCAGCATGTATTTTGTAACATTTTTTAGTTTCAATCATGAATATTATGGTTAAAACTATTTGTAGTATCCTTAAAAAAAGGATTATCTATGTAGTTAATTCAATATGTACTTATTTCTTTAAAAATATGTACGTTTAATCTTCAAAATTTTATAATTCACACATTTTAAAAATGTATCAAATCATACAATGTATGAACTGGCTTATGTCTAGAAGCCACCTTTCTACTAATATTATAAATGTTAAAGTTAATAAATATTGATGAATTGAAGGATGGGTGGCCAGATGAATGGATAGGAAGCATGAATGGGAATAATAATATGCCNAATAAATAAATAAATAAGACCTCTCTGAAGTTAGCTGTCAAAAATGTAAGTGGCCCGTCGTTAACGACTGAATCCACCATTTGGCTCGACTCTTCAAAAGGTAGCCTTGCATTACACCAACCAGCTATTTAGCGGCTCCTGCAAATCAATTCTATACTCTGGTCCGTGAGCACGTAGAATTTTGTGCTCGCACACTCAGTGCGGGCACCCGTCGCACAGTCGCGACAGCAATATAATTACGCGCGAGCGATAAGGATGGGTAGCTAGGGGTCATTGGACAAAATTCTACGTGCTCCCGGACCAGACTTTACGTCACTACTCTCCGAAGGTGACTGACCTGCCGCAGGCGGCGGGCGAGCCTCGTGTCTCTGCTTGAGCTGTCGGCGGCGGCGGCGCGCCTCCCGGCGGCGGGCCACCTGCCCCGGCGACGCCGCGCGCTCCGCCGCCGAACGCCGGGCTAAGCGGAGCTTGCGCTCGATCTCCCATCTACAAGTAACATGCGGTTACATAAAGAACCTGTAGCTTTAGGCCCAGTTTCTTGATTCATAGTTTAAAATATTGTTGCAATTTTACTATAAAATTATCACTTCACGGGATTTATTGATTATTTATTAAAAATATGTTATTGCAATTAATCCCGTGAAGTGATAATTTTAAAATAACTAATTGTTAAATTTTGCTACTAATGGTTAAATATTAACAAAATGTAAACTAATAGTTAAAAAATGTACTAAAAGTCAAACTAACCATTGTGCGAAAAACATTTTTTTTGTGATATTTAACCACTTGTCATTTGACATCTGTCAAATTTTACTATTGGTTATTTTAACGACGAATCAAAAAACTGGGCCTAATTCACGTAACAAAACTTCAACGACAACAAAACACTTACACCCGTATTCACAAACGATGCTTGCTTAAGTGAAGCAGGAAATCGAACGCATAGCGTTGAATAAAGCTTTGTGGTTGGTTTATGCGCCATCCTGCGCGTCCACGCGCACTGTGAGACCTCATAGTAATGTTTGTGAATAGGTACGGGCGTGAGTTGCGATCCTATCGAGTAATCATTCTATCAATATGACCCTTGTGAATACGGGTTTAGAACTGTTTTTCAATGGGACGACTTCTGAAGTCAGCGAGATGTTGACTGTTAAAATACATGAATTAGGCCACTGGTTAGACTCGTGTGGAAAAATACGGGTCATTTTCATCTGTACATGATAAAGTTTAAAATTAAGACTGAGGTGCACTATCTTACTTTAACCGTAACTATAACAATAACCAGTGCTTTTTGTATGGAGTTTGACCCAGCCTAAAATTCTAGTTCGTTATGGTACATATTTGCAATAACTGTTCCAATAAGTGCGTAAGAAACAAGTCGTAATTGCAAAGAGTAAAACTTTGCAAAAACCATTTGTGGTACGGCAATATGGTGTTACTTTTCTATTGTTTTGCGTTAACAAGGATCACTAGTCCATGTGGTCTAAAATCTCTTAAAATTCCTTCAATTTGAAATTATTGCCCATAATGTAGCAAACTTTAAACTTACCTGGTCTTCATGAGGTCTCTCCTCTCGATTCTCTTGAAGATTTCCTGTTCTCTCTCTTTTTCCGACATGGCGGCCAAACGAGCTCTGTCCTCTTCATCACCCATAAGATTTTCATCGTAACTGCATGGAAGAAAAGTCACTTAAAACACTTACTTATTAGAAAACTCTAACTGTAACCACTAGTTACAGAAAAAGGCAACACATAGTTCGTAAAAATCAAAGCTGTATTTGTAAATAATAGATGAGTACAAGTTTCTGTAAATACTAGATGCAGTAAAAAATAGACTTATAAAGCCCGGTCTGTGAGCACGTAGAATTTTGTCCAATGACCCCAAGCTCGCACACTCACTGCGGGCGCCCGTCGCACAGTCGCGACAGCAATATAATTACGCGCGAGCGATAAAGATGGGTAGCTTTGGATCATTGGACAAAATTCTACGTGCTCACAGACCAGACTATACTTATCTATATATATAAAAATGAAACCCGTTTCGCGTTGTCACGGCATCACGTGTGAACGGCTGAACCGATTTCGATAATTCTTTTTTTTTAATGTTTGTGGAAGTCCAAGGATGGTTCTTACGGAAAAAAATATTAAGAAAATCTCTATGCTAAGGCGGTACGAAGTTCGCCGGGTCAGCTAGTATAAAATGAAAATAATATACACAAATATGTTCACTATGAAAGAAAAACTATAAAACATGAAATAAAATGATTACCCATCATCGAATTCCTCTTCTGAATCAATGGAGTCATTGTCGGAAGAATGTGATGATACTTCACCTAGAAAGAAAGGCTCAAATGAAAAATCTGATACCTTCAACACCAAAGTTATAAAGTAAAATCATTGAACCATTATCAGAACGTAAAAAAATCCTTACCTTCTTCTGGTTCGCTATACGTGTCTTTCTTTTTCCCTGAACTGTTACTGTCGGTGCTCTTTCTGACTTCAACTTTCTTCGGTTCCGGCTTCTTTCTGCTGTCATGGTCCGAGTGGTCTGTAGACGCCTTTCTGGAGTTACGGCCCTGTTCCTTTTTATTTGAAGTGTCGCTGCCTGCATCGCTGTCCGAGTCCGAACCGGACGATGATGATGATTTTGCTGCAATTAATAGATAAATAGTATTGCAATTATACCTTTTGTCACACTTACATATAGAAGAATACATACTTAGTTTACTTCTTAAAATAAAATTAGGATGTGTAAAAGCGCATTTAAAAAGCCAATTTGCAGGAGAAAAAAAACTTTTAATGCATGTTCCATGGTCAAGTGATAAAAGGGACTCTCCTCAAGTAAAAGGTTCTACGTAACCAAGAGATACACAAAAAGTCAAAAATTTTTCCTTGATAATTCAAATTAAATCAAAATTATTGCAATTTTGATGATCAACCTATCTAGCCAGTGTGAATAATGAATTGATTTTGGTTTTTTTAAACGTCAAGCTGTACACTATAAGATCTTAGGTAGTGGTAATAAGAGTGATATTACAACAAAAATGTATTGTCTAATGTGCTGACATCAGTACAGTCAGCATCAAATAGTTTGTGACACCCAAAGTAGCCAAAAAGTTCGCGACACATCTTTATTACAATCAGAATAAGATTGCGTTGACTTTTTGGCCACTTTGGGTGTCACAAACTATAAACAAAATGTTTTGTTACTTACATCCTTTTTTATCATTGTCGTCCCAATCTGATTCACTGTCTGACGATTGTCCTTTAGATTTCGAGGGTGGTGGTGAATCACTTTTTTTCTTCTTCTTTGCTAAATTCAAAAATTGCTGCAACAAAAACATACAAAGCTATAAAAAACCTCCTTAAAATTACCTCCTCTTTTACTTAATCACCTTGCACACTTATTTTACAGGTTGTAATTATATAATTAGAATCACTAATGAGTTGTTAATAGCTCAACCCTTAAAAAGGGCTAGATGAGTCATTTTTGCTAACCAATTAGATAATTATTAGTCTGAAGAAAAGAAAATTAAAAAAACACCACTTTTCACATAGATATGTAGCTAATGACAAAACAATATCTTTTGAGTCATTCTATCTTTTGTTAAAAATTATAATGGTAAAAAAGATTTAGTTGCAAAAAAAAGATTACTTATTTGTTTCAGATTTTTTGTTACTTATTTTATGATTTTTATCTACAATACATTGAAAAGAATGATAATATGCATACTTCCTGATACAAAAGACTTTAGATAACATTTTAAATACAAATTAACACTAAAATGATAGATAGATTGGATACTGTGGTATTAATACCACAAGAATTATCATGTTTACTATGTTCTAAGCCCATAGCAACAGTCTAAAAATTATTGAACAAAAATACTCCTGTTTTTTGTAATAGCAACACAATAATACCTTGAATATAAGAAATACCACAAACAAATATTTTCATAAATACAAAGCTAGTTTCACCTCTAGAAATATCTGTGATGCAATGAGAAACCTAGGCAGAAGAGAAAGTACACACCCTGGATTATATAATAGAAATTTTTGCGACTCTAACAGTAATACATAGTCTGAAAAAGCACTCACACAAAAACATGGTTGTAATTTGCTACTTCAGCTGTCTTTACACACAATATGACTTCTACAAAGGTCGAAAAACAGGATAGGGATACAAACACAAGCCCCGAAGTTAATTTTTATTCATTTTACATGACTCATGCTCGCTCAACCCGTGAAAAGTAGTCGTTACATTTCCATCGAAAACAACATTCTAGATTGTTAATTCATTGCCAAAATTTCTTCTAAAATACTTAAATTAGCTCGTTATGGTTTTTATTACAAAAATACTGCGCATTAAACGGATTTAGAACCGAGAAACATTGATCTTGGCCTCAATACTTAGACGAATAACCGAAAGAATGTAGTACACACTGTCAACAGACATCTAACCTAGGATTTAAAGAAAATTCACTTACCGAGTCTAAATCCGAACATTCACTGCTAGAATCAGAATCAATCAAGGGTTTATTTTTCCTTTTAGCCATTTTGAAGCACTTAGAAACTATGTACGTAAATTAAACCACACAAAAATATCACCAAACGTTCGCTTGCTTTTCTTCTGCGAAGTTAATCATAGACTAACGACAGTTTTTTTTTGTGTCAAATCAGAATATTTTTTTTCTAAATATTCGGATACGTCGCTTGTTGTGGCTCACGAAAACTACGGCAAACTCCACCAACTTAGCCAACAACAATAAAAATAACTTGAACTTAGACCGAACGTATAACCCGACAGAGCTAACTGCGCGTGCGCACCTCACTGATAGCGCAAGTACACTAATAGACTGAGACGAAGCGTGAGCTGCGCGAGCCCGCTCACCGACATGTGGGCGACGCGACCCACGGGTGGGGGAAGTAGTTCGCGCGATAAATACCATGGGCCTAGCCGTTTCGTTCGTACGTAAAGCGACAGAGAGAGAGAGAGAGAAAGGGGCGTTACGTACGCGCCCGCCTACGCGCCTCTGAAGTCGCGTAGCCGCAGCACCCACTTTAAATAATACCATTGTCTCTTCAAAAATATACAACGTGCTCTTTTTGATTTCGGGAAATAGGGGTTATTATGGATAAAAACAAGTTAAAATAATTTGATACCCCACTCGATAGGTTACGAGAAAAAAAATGTTTAATACATTATGGCCCTTAAAATCCACCATTTTGATTTTTTTCAATTTTAATATAGTCAGTATCACTCTCACGATTAAGACGAATCTAACGACACCTCTCATACTAAAATCGGTCAAGCCGTTTAGGCTGTAGGCCGTGCGAAATACATAGTTACATACATACACTCGAAAAACATAACCCTCCTTCTGGCGCAGTCGGGTAAAAAATGAAGAACATAATATTGTGTTCTCAAGCGCATATTTTCGAAGATAATATCTTCGATATTATATCCTAATTTAACTACAGTAATAAATTGCCTGAATTTGTGTTCCCAGACCTCAAAGTAAAGATATCAATACATGTAAAAACTTAAAAAGGCTACTGCGATACAAGCTATGCTTAGTGCAGAAGCCGCTAGTTATAAGAATATTTTGTATTAAGATTTATAGGCAATAAACATTTTATTTATTATTTATTTATTTAATAGTTTTTTCCAAAATTGTCACCCAATTCTTATCTTTTTACCCAACTGCGCCAAAAGGAGGGTTATGGCGCAGTTGGAGCCGGGGTGGCCTGTCGAAGCAACCACGATAGAAGACGTCCATGAAACTTGAAAAAATCACATTGGAAAATGCTGTTTAAAAAAGAAACAGCTTGCAGAATAACTTGAGTCTCAACTATGACCATTTTTAGCATTCTTCACGACCATATTGGCCTATTAGAGGTTCCACAAGGTGGGTGCCGAGAATGCTTGCGCCACAACAGAAGCAAAGTGAGTTGAGTGTTGTCCTCAGTTTTTTACTCTCTGTAGAGACCGGGTTGAGACTGATAATGAAATTGAGGTTCATAATTATGAGTTCAAACTCAAAAAAGATTCCATACAGTGGCACAAAATGGCACACCACCATCAAGAAGATCCTGGTGTCCTCGTCGGCTGAAAAATTCATAACCGCTGTCTTCAGGGATACTGATGAAATCCTGCTGATTGATTACAAATAAAAAAAATCAGTACAACAGGAGATAACTACGCTTCACTTTTAGAAAGGTTTTGAGATGCTGTCAGGGTAAAAAAGTGAGGAAAATAAAGCAAAAGTGTGCTGTTTTTACACGACGATCCGCCCGTGCGCAAGGTGCAAGTTGTGGTGGCTGTTGTTCAAAGGGTGGGCTTCGGAAAAAAATTTGCTCTATAGCCCAGATTAAACCCTCAGCCATTACGACTATTTTTTTTAAATGAAGAAAAAGCTTAGAAGGCTGAATTTTCCAGTGAGATTGAAGTGAAGTGTGCAATTTCGGTCTATTTTGACAATGTTTATGAAAATTTTTTTTCGAAGATATCAATTATATAAATGAAAAATTTAATTATTGTATTATGCTAAACAAAGAATGAACTAAGAAGTAAAAATAATTTTGAGTGAAATTTTTTACTCATTACCCTCCATTCCGCGAACTTTTTGACCTACCCTCGTATCATAATGTATGTATGTATATTTCTTTGGCACGGCCTACAGCCTAAACGGCTTGACCGATTTTAGCATGAAAGGTGTTGTTAGATTTGTCTTAATCGTGAGAATGACACTGGCTATATTAAAATTTAAAAATATCAAAATGCCGGGACCATAATGTGTTAAAAAAAATGTTTTTTCTCGAATCCTATCAAGTGGGGTATCAAAATAAAGGGTTTTTTAAGTAGCTTACTAAAATGTATGTTATTTACCTAAAATAAGTTTTAACAATGAATGAATGATTTTGTAATCAGTATCCATTTTTTTTTAATAAGCTCTATAGAACAATTTAACAATACAACTTTATCTTTATTATTTACAGTCTTGGTATTTTTCGCAAAAAAAAAAATTGAAAATCTGATTCGCGGTCGCGGGTGCCCATAATTTATGGTCCTTAGGATTGATTTTTAAAGGCTAAGGCTTATTTTCGCATAAGCCTACCATTATGTCTATTAAGCTTTGTAGTTAACTGTGTGTACGTATTTTTCTATGAACAAAGCAAATTATCAACGTGTACCAATTTCGAAACCACGCGCAGCTGTGATTTTCCTGACCTGACCTATTATAAAAATGTTTAAGAATAAATTATAAAACGCTGTAAGTTCAAGTTGTTGTTGAGTTTGCAAGTATCGTTTGTGAATACGGGCTTTAATGCACCTTTTTTGTCCACGGACCCCTTAGGAAATCAAGTACAATTTTATTTAAGGACCCCCATAATAAAAAAGGTAGTATGTATAACAAAATAAATATCGATAACGAGACTTTTGGTGGAATTTACTTATGATTGTTAAATGGTCCATAGATAAGGCTACGGACCCCCATACATTATGCTCGTGGACCCCCTGGCCCCTGGGGTCCGCGGACCACAGGTTGTGAAACACTGTTCTAGAGGATTATAAACCGAATATTTAATGTGTATCCGAATCCGATCCAATTTTAGTTTGACACAGTTTGACAGCGACTGTCAAGTGTCAAGTTTAGTAGTCTATGGAAATGGTATTTGTTTTCAATGGGATTTGCGTTTTTGTGATTTTTCTGGAAATTCTTTGATTGATATTGATTTCCCCGACTATTGTTAAAATATCATTATTAATTACTTTATTTGCTGTGCAGAAATAAACATCATCAACTGTTTCCCAGTATTCATTGTGTGCAAGTGAAAGGCTGAACCAGTGAGTGGAAATCTAACGGGAGCCCCCGTTTCTATTTGGGACCTAAAAACTTATTATGCCTCATGATTTGAAAGAGCTGGGTGTAAGGAAAGCAATTATGGTGAGGCTTCACTCATTAATAACACAGTAAAATAAAGATTTATTTAGAAATTATGGTGAAAAACTTGTTTGAATTCCAGGCTCCCTTATCGCCAACGCCGTGCGCTGAGATCAGCGATGACGAGCTGGTCTCCATCTCAGTACGAGACTTAAATCGGCAGCTCAAGATGAGAGGTCTAACTCGAGATCAGATCGTCAGGTATTTTCTACAACATATTAACACAGTATTAACACAAATAAATAAAATGTTTATTGCCAATAAATCTTGATACAGAATATTCTTATAACTAGCGTCTTCTGCACTAAGCATAGCTTGTGTCGCAGTAGTCTTTTAAGTTTTTACGTATTGATATCTTTAACTTACTTGGATCCCTTAAAAGAAGGTATCATTGCCTTGAAGTTTTTGCGATAATGTTCCTCATAACGTTATAAAAGACATATCCTAAATGTATTCTAGTTTGGAAAAAACCTAGGTTTTAAGGCCTATTCAAACCTGAGCGATATTCGCTGCCGCTGCAGGTAGAGGTACATACCAGACGGTAGCGAATACCGCTTAGGTCTGAATAGGCCTTAAAAGAAAAAGCTTACAAGTTTATTTCATGTTAAAATAAATTTTTACTTTTAATTCATATGTTTCAAAGTCAATTATGGTTTGTAGAATGAAACAACGTCGAAGAACCCTCAAGAACAGAGGCTACGCTGCCTCGTGCCGCATCAAACGAATAGAGCAGAAGGATGAACTGGAAACGGAAAAGAGTCAGGTAATTACTATTCAAACTTCTTTAATTATCATTAACCTTAATCTAAACCTTTACTGACAAATGCTACATTCTTTAATATGCTGAACTTGTTTAATTTTGATTTTATTTAAATTCCAAAGATAAAAAAACTGTACGTGGCAGCTTATAACATAATATTATCAATTTTATTAAAATCTACAATGTTGACATAGATAAGCCTCTAATAAACGCCCATATTCACAAACAATGTTTTCTTAAGTGAAGCAGCAATTCGAACGCACAGCATTGAATAGAGCTCTGTGATTGATTTCGTCGCTTGCCTCTGTAACTGACCTATCTGACATTTTTTTCGAAACTGAGTTATCTACACCATCTTAATCAATTTTGCAAGACGAATCGATCTGTCTAATCGCCTGAAAATTTACGTCAGTTAGAGAGGCAAGCGACGATTTGTGTGTCATCGTGTGCGTCCACGCACACTGTGAGTCCACGCACACTGAGTCCAGACCACATAGTAATGTTTGTGAATACGGGCAAAAATCTACAATGCTGACATACATAGAATAATAAAGTTACATGTTACTTATGGTTTTTGAAACACAGTTGTCTATTTGTCTGTCTAGTTCATTTTTACTCAGTTGGGTTTTTTACTCTTTCAATAATTATTTTTAGTGTACTTTTTTGGAGGCGGTTTAATTTTAAGTCGGTTTTTAATACGTACGTACGTAATAAATTTTNTCCATATCTGTGGTGTATCCGAATCCGATCCAATTTTAGTTTGACAGCGACTGTCAAGTGTCAAGTTTAGTAGTCTATGGAAATAGTATTTGTTTTCAATGGGATTTGCGTTTTTGTGATTTTTCTGGAAATTCTATTAGAATATTGATTTCCCCGACTATTGTTAAAAATATCATTATTAATTACTTTATTTGCTGTGCAGAAATAAACATCATCAACTGTTTCCCAGTATTCATTGTGTGCAAGTGAAAGGCTGAACCAGTGAGTGGAAATCTAACGGGAGCCCCCGTTTCTATTTGGGACCTAAAAACTTATTATGCCTCATGATTTGAAAGAGCTGGGTGTAAGGAAAGCAATTATGGTGAGTCTTCACTCATAATGAATACATTATAATAAAGATTTATTTAGAAATATGGTAAAAAACTTGTTTGAATTTCAGGCTCCCTTATCGCCAACGCCGTGTGCTGAGATCAGCGATGACGAGCTGGTCTCCATCTCAGTACGAGACTTAAATCGGCAGCTCAAGATGAGAGGTCTAACTCGAGATCAGATTGTCAGGTATTTTCTACAATTTAACATAAATAAATAAAATGTTTATTGCCAATAAATCTTGATACAGAATATTCTTATAACTAGCGTCTTCTGCACTAAGCATAGCTTGTGTCGCAGTAGTCTTTTAAGTTTTTACGTATTGATATCTTTAACTTACTTGGATCCCTTAAAAGAAGGTAACATTGCCTTGAAGTTTTTGCGATAATGTTCCTCATAACGTTATAAAAGACATATCCTAAATGTATTCTAGTTTGGAAAAAACCTTGGCTAGGCCTTAAGGCCTATTAAAACCTGAGCGATATTCGCTGCCGCTGTGGGTAGAGGTACATACCAGACGGTAGCAAATACAGCTTAGGTCTGAATAGGCCTTAAAAGAATAAGCTTACAAGTTTTTTTTATGTTAAAATTAACTTTAATTATTAATGTTTTAACATCAAATATGTTTTGTAGAATGAAACAACGTCGAAGAACCCTCAAGAACAGAGGCTACGCTGCCTCGTGCCGCATCAAACGAATAGAGCAGAAGGATGAACTGGAAACGGAAAAAAGTCAGGTAATTACTATTCAAACTTCTTTAATTACCATTAACTTTAATCTAAACCTTTACTATCAAATGCTACATATATGCTGAACTTGTGTTTAATTTCACTTTTACTTAAATTCCAAAGATAAAAAACTGTAGGTGGCAGCTTATAACATAATATCAATTTTATATCTAATGAGATAAAAATCTACAATGCTGACATAGATTAATAAAGGCCCATGTTCACAAATAATGTTTGCTTAAGTGAAGCAGCAAATCGAACGTATAGCGTTGTAGAGCTCTGTGATTGGTTCGTGTGCCACCCTGTGCGTCCACGCGCACTGTGAGACCTCATAGTAATGTTTGTGAATACGGGCAAAAATCTACAATGCTGACATAGAATAATAAGTTGCACCATCTTACATTAACTGTGACAATCGTCAAAAATCTGTCTCCAACTCAATACAAAAAACACCGGTTATCGTTATAGTTACCGTTAAAGTTAGGTGGTGCATTTCAGCTATAGTTGTCTAGCTGTATGTGTCAGACATTCTAGTTCATTTTTACGCAGTTAAGTTTTTATTTTTTCAATAATATTTTTTAGTGTACTTTTTTGGAGTCGGTTTATTTTTAAGTCGGTTTTTAATACATTCCAGGAATGGCACGACATGGAACTAATGCAAGAAGAGAACACCAGGATCCGTGAGGAGATTGAGGCACTACGCAGCAAGTATGACGCGCTCAAGAGATTCGCCGTCATGAAGAACATTCCGTTGCCGCACGAACTTGAAATGATGCCGTAGTTTGTACGTAATTAGTAGTTGTAGTGAAAGCAGTTTTAGAAAGATGTCTACTGTTTTGGTAAATTAATAAGGTTTGTTTAATGAATTAGCTTGTTTCCTAAAAGAAACTTCTTAGTCCGTCAATTATATTAACCAACTAGCTTTCCGCCCGCGGCTTCGCACGCGTGGACTACATTATCTACATATTTTACGAAACCCTATTTTTTTCCAAAATAAAATTTAGCCTATGTTACTCGTGGATAATGTAGCTTTCGAATGGTGAAAGAATTTTTAAAAACGGTCCAGTAGTTTTTGAGCCTATTCATTACAACCAAACAAACAAAGTTTTCCTCTTTATAATATTAGTGTAGAAAATATTGGACACAATTTTTTATTTGTGAATCAAACAACTAATTACGAAGTTATGATGCGTCACATGTTCCGCGTGATGTCACAAAGTTCTACACTTTTATGCACTCCTTGACGTCACGGGCCTCTTATTTAGAACTTTGGCGCGCTTTATCTCTTTTAATTTTCATTAGTTTGAAAAAGTGAAAAATATGTGTGGTGTTTTTTGATAAGTTGACTGACTTATTCAAACTCTTGCTTTTTTACCCAGGATACACTCTATTGTAAAAGATCAACAATATTCAATAACTTGTCTAGTTACTAGTGCTAGACAGAAAAATAATATATTTTATCTATACTTATAATAAATCTGTAGAGAGGTCAATTCTGTACATGAAATATATTTTCAAAATAACTATCAGGGGGTGATTAGTGACCGATACTGATGCCAAAAATGCAATCAGTAAAATTTTTGTCTGTCTGTCTGTCTGTCTGTCTTTCTGTCTGTCTGTCTGTCTGTATGTTCCTTATAGAAACAAAAACTACTTAACGGACTTTAACGAAACTTGGTACAATTATTCTTCATACTTCTGGGCAGGTTATAGTATACTTAGGAATTCCCACGGCAACGGGAATTAGCGGGAAAATACTTTTGTACGAAAAATCTAAACCGCTTAAGTTAGACACTTGAAATTTGGCATGCAGGTACCTTAGTTAACTTAAAGCTTAGTTACAACAGGATATTGCAAAATTCCCACGGGAACGGGAGTTAGCGGGAAAAAACATTTGTATGAAAAAATCTAAACCGCGTAAGATAGATGAAGGGGGTAAAACGGGATCCACGCGTACGAAGTCGCGGGCGGCCGCTAGTATATTATAAGATTCTTATTTTGTTCAAAATTATATGATAGCAGTTCTAACTGCACTTATAAAACTAGTACATTAGAATATTATGCTAGTAAAGAATGTGACATCTTTTTAAAGTTATTTTCATAAATTGCTAGTGTAATTTTTATAGTTAAGGTGGTTGGAATTAAGTAAGATTACTATTGCCAGTATGTGAAATGAAAACCTACTCTATTTGGAACTACATAGATGATTAATTTGTACATTATTATTATTAAATAGTAAAGAAGTTATTGTACCTGTAAGCCCAATTTTATTATAGTTAAAAAATTATACCTCCTCAATAACTTGTCTTAATTGAATAGCTGTTTAAAGTAAAAAATAACTTACTTGCCTAATTTAATTAATTAATTAGTAGTTCAAAAGTAGGTTTTTCTTAAAATATTTGTAACTAGATAATGAATGCTAGGGACTTAAGCTGACGCCCGTATTCACAAACGATGCTTGCTTAAGTGAAGCAGCAAATCGAACGCACAGCGTTGAATAGAGCTCTGTGATTGGTTCGTGTGTCACCCTGTGCGTCCACGTGCACTGTGAGACCTCATAGTAATGTTTGTGAATACGGGCGTGAGTTGCACCAGCTTATTTGAACCGTAACTATAACCATAACCGATGTCTTTTGTATGGAGATTGACAACTTTTGACGTTTGTTAAAGTTAGCCTAGACGCAGACCATTGATTTTTCGTCGGCCGATAATTTAGTCGGGCAGTTTTTTTTATTAATTTTTTTTATTAATAAAAAAAAAAGATTATTAGTTATTATCAGTTGATCGCAGTATAGGCATGTATGGAAGTGCGCACATTACACCGATTCGATTTGGCCGATTCTTCATACAATTTAAAATCGGGCACAACTATCGGCCAACTAAAAACCGGTGGTCTGCGCCAAGTCAACCCAGCCTTATTAGTTGCCATTTTATTATTTCACACAGTTACCTTATGGTTAGATATTTACTCTTTACTCCTGTTAACCAATGTTCTATTTACAATGTATAATGTATAGGTTCATCTTAATTTTTGTCGTATATTTATACTCTTCTACAAAAAGCCGCTATAAAAATCTAGGTACGAGTTGTATGATATTTTTAAGGAAATAAAACTATTTAAGTGATATTATATTATGAAAATAAAGTAGATTTAGATAACAATCGTGTTTCATTTTTTTAGTTAAAAGTTAAAACCGTTCACTATACTGAANCTGTCTAATTTGTGCCCAAACTGGTTCTATAAAAGCATTATAGCAAGCTATACAGCTCGTATACAGCTGACATACACAGCTTGTGGAGTACATGTGAACGACTATTGAACTCTTAAATGGAGTAAAATGTTACTTGGGTAGTACATTAGAATATTATGCTAGTAAAGAAAGTGACATCTTTTTAAAGTTATTTTCATAAATTGCTAGTGTAATTTTTATAGTTAAGGTGGTTGGAATTAAGTAAGATTTGTCATTGCCAGTATGTGAAAACCTGCTCTATTTGTAAATTATTATTATTAAATAGCAAAGAAGTGATTGTACCTGTAAGCCCAATTTTGTTATAGTTAAAAAATTATACCTTCTCAATAACTTTGTTTCAATTGAATAGCTGTATAAAGTAAAAAATAACCTTGCCTAATTTAATTAATTAATTTGTAGTTCAAAAGTAGGTTTTTCTTAAAATATTTCTAACTAGATTATGAATGCTAGGACTTAGGCTGACGCTCGTTTTCACAAACGATGCTTGCTTAGTGAAGCAGCAAATCGAACGCACAGCGTTGAATAGAGCTCTGTGATTGGTTCGTGTGTCACCCTGTGCTTCCACGCGCACTGTGAGACCTCATAGTAATGTTTGTGATTTCGGGCGTCAGTTGCAACAGCTTATTTTAACCATGACTAAACTCGTGTTTTTTGTATAATGTTTGACAGTTTTTGACGTTTGTTAAAGTTAAAGTAAGATGGTGCAACCCATTCTTATTATAGTTGCCATGTTATTATTTCACACAGTTACCTTAAGGTTAAATAGTTATAGATCGTTTCATCCAAGAAGACGCGCCCCACCAATTTTTGGTCTCGGTCGCGCGGGGTGCGGGGAGTTTGCTCCGAGCAATCCGAGCGGCATTATTGTAGTGTGCGTGTGCACTCATGGATCATTTGGCGTGTACCGATAACACTCAAACATTAGCGGAAGAATGGTGGGGCGCGTCTTCGTGGATGAAACGATCTATATTTATTTACCACTATTTAGAATGTTCTATTTGCAATGAATATAAGTTTATCATAATTTTGACGTATTTTTTACTCTTCTACTAAAAGCCGCTATAAAAAACTAGGTACGAGTTGTATAATATTTTTAAGGAAATAAAACTATTTAAGTGATATTATATTATGAAAATAAAGTAGATTTATATAACAATCGTGTTTCATTTTTTAGTTAAAACCGTTTACTTAACCGTTTAAGTAGGTACCTACTTCTTTTGATGCAACAAGCTAAAACTAAAAGCATTGAAAGCTGCTAAAATCGTGTTGATCCATAATACAAATCTCATCAAGTAAATAAATAAATGACGGTTTTAACTTAAGTCTATTAATATACAGGGTGTTATTATTTTATTTGATCAAAGAAAACGGATTATTCCCGAAGTTCAAATACTTACGTTATAAAAAAAACCTTTCCATACAAAATATGTTTGTAATTACATACGTATTATCATCAGCAATCAGTCATTTAGTATGCTTGTGGTATGGGACTTATATTATTTAATATTGTTTCTGTGAAAAGTAAATTATTAGTTGTTGTATTGTATTTGAGTAGTAAAATCAATCGACCCTTTTGTTTCATCAAGTATAAATAACAGTAGGTATAAGGTATGTGTATAAATAAAATTTTTGAGGGTTTGATCGTAAGAAGTGCCTATTCCTTCATTGTCAATGAAGATAAGACGACAAAATAAAAACCAAACCGTCAATTTCCTGCCTCAAAAAGAAGTCTCCAATAAAAGATTTTTAACCCTCCAAGATCTATTTAACACTAATAAATATTTTATCGCGGCCCGGTCGAGTGGCACCGCACTTTGAAAGTGGCCTTTTAGACCGTCAGTCAATAATTACATTTTCCAGGCCCTTCCGACTAGGGTTACCAGGTCTGAACGCAAAAGCCGGACTCAGTGGTTACTTTTGCCGGACATTTTACCCTAAAAGCCGGAAATCATGCTTTTTAAAAGTCGTAATGAATGTGTTCTAAATTTTTTTTAGTTAAAAAAACATTTATTAGTAATTTGTATTGCACAAATTACTAATAGTCCCATTAGCCCTTCGTACTAAGCTAAAAATGCTTGTGTCGCGAGTGGGCTCACCACAATAGTCGTCGTGCGGCAGCGGGATTCGAACCCGCATTCCCCGGATCACGAGTCGGCCCCCTTCACCGTACGGCTATTGTGGCCGAAAAATATTAATTCATATAAAAAAATCGTGATATGGCTTTACTTGTGCTCTTGACTTTCGACTGGCGCGGCAGCCTCTTAACAAAATACAGATAGGCCGGACCAGAAAATATTTGCCGGACGCGTGTGTAAAAAGCCAAACATGTCCGGCTAAACCCGGACACCTGGCAACCCTACTTCCGACCACTCGATGCCGAATTTGAACGAGTTGTAGCGTTTGAGAAAAGAAAATGAAGGCGAAAGGAAGGTTTCCACAACCATTGTGTAAGCCACCAGAATAAGCACTCGAAAGTAGTTAAGTTTACATTGTTTTGATAAGAGATGGCGTTGTACGCTTTTAGTTCGCGATTGGTATGTTTCTACTTTTTAACTGTCTCAAAAAATGAGGAAATAAAATAAATTCAAATTAGAAAAAAATTGACCTGTATCATTCATTATCATCATCATTTCAGCCACAGGACGTCCGTTTCCATTGCTGAACATAGGCCTCCCCCAATGATTTCATCCAACGCCGACTTTAGTAATTTTAAATTCATATCTAACGCCTTACAAATAAC